ATATATATATATATATCGAATAAATTCGAATCATTCGAAGAGCAAAGTTCGAAGCAGCCGAAAACGTACGAAAGCGTATCGAGGATCGAGGATCGACGAGCAGCGAGCCGAATTAATCGTTCCGTCGTGTGTTTGATCAGGAGGTGTACTGCGGTCGAGAGACGATCTGCACCGTGGACGGATTGCATTTCAACTCTCTGTACAATGCCAGGGTGAGGGCGTTTAACAGCGCCGGGGAAGGCGAGTATTCCGAGTTGATCGGCCTCCAGACTGCCGAGGGTGAGTCTCTTCGCGCGTTCCCGATTATATTTTCTCCGATCGAGTGGAAGAGATGAACGAGCAAAAATAGGAGCATCGACGTTCGTGGTCGAAAACCGAAGATCGATCGATGATTCATCGATTCGTATAGAATAAAATTAGATCATCCGAGTCGATTTGGGGAAACGCGTTGTATTCTTATAATATGGAAAGAAACGTTATCTGTGATAACAATATCTGTGATTCATCGATACGGTAGCAATGTGTCGCGAGAATAAAAGGAAAAGGGTCGCGTTTTATCCTTATGACGTGAAGAGAAACGTTAAGGTACAATATATAGCCGATCTATTCGTCGATCTATGGCAATGAATCGTGAGAATAAAATTAGATTCATCGAAGCCGGCAATTTGGGGAAACGCGTCTCGTTATATCCTTATGACGTGGAGAGAAGCATTACGATACAAGTACAATATATAGTCGATCTATTCATCGATCTATAACAATGAATCGGGAAAATATTAGATTTGGAATCGAAAATATGGGGAAATGCATCTCGTTATATCCTTCTGACGTGAAGAGAAACGTTACGATACAATATAGATGATCTATGATTCATCGATTTATAGCAATGTATCGTGAGAATAAAATTAGTTTCATTAAAACCGAATTTGGGGAAACGCGTCTCGTTATATCCTTATGACGTGGAGAAGCATTACGATACAAGTACAATATATAGTCGATCTATTCATCGATCTATAACAATGAATCGGGAAAATATTAGATTTGGAAGCGAAAATATGGCGAAATGCATTTCGTTATATTCTTATGACGTGGAGAGAAATTTTACGATATAGATACAATATAGCCGATTTATGATTCATCGATCTATAGCAATGTATCGTGAGAATAAAATTAGTTTTATTAAAGCCGAATTTGGGGAAACGCGTCTCGTTATATCCTTATAACGTGAAGAAAAATGTTACGATACAATATATAGCCGATCTATTCATCGATCTGTAGCAATCGTAGTATCGTGAGAATAAAATTAGTTTCATTAAAGCCGACAATTTGAGGAAACGCGTCTCGTTATATCCTTATGACGTGGAGAAAAGCATTACGATACAAGTACAATATATAATATATAAGTCGATCTATTCATCGATCTATAACAATGAATCGGGAAAATATTAGATTTGGAAGCGAAAATATGGCGAAATGCATTTCGTTATATTCTTATGACGTGGAGAGAAATTTTACGATACAGATACAATATAGCCGATTTATGATTCGTCGATCTATAGCAATGTATCGTGAGAATAAAATTAGTTTCATTAAAGCCGAATTTGGGGAAACGCGTCTCGTTATATCCTTATAACGTGAAGAAAAATGTTACGATACAATATATAGCCGATCTATTCATCGATCTGTAGCAATCGTAGTATCGTGAGAATAAAATTAGTTTCATTAAAGTCGACAATTTGGGAAAGTCTTGTTATATCCTTATAACATGACAGAAAAATATAATTATAACAGAAAAATGTTACGATACAATATATAACTGATCTATTTATCGATCTGTAGCAATGAATCGCGAGAATAATATTAGATTCGGAACCGACAATTTGGGGAAACACATTATTCTTTTAACATGGAGAATAACGTTACGATACAATATATAGCCGATCTATTCGTCGATCATGAAAATATTAGATTTGGAGCCGATAATTTGGGGAAATGCATCTCGTTATATTTCTATAACATGGAGAAAAACCTTACGATACAATATCGATCTATTCATCGATTTGTAGCAATGAATCGCGAGTACAAAATTAGATTCATCGAAGCCGACAATTTGGAGAAACGCGTTATGGAAGAATTTTCCGTGAAAGTTTCATAATCCTTGTAATATGAAGAAAAATGTTACAGAATTTAAATTACGATACAATAACCGATCTATGATTCGTTGATTCGTAACAATAAATCGCGAGAATAAAATTAAAATCGAAACCGAAAATGTGGGGAAACGCGTCTCATTATATTCTTTTAACATGGAGAAAAATGTTACGATACAATATATAGCCGATCTATTCATCGATCTGTAGCAATCGTAGTATCGTGAGAATAAAATTAGTTTCATTAAAGTCGACAATTTGGGAAAGTCTTGTTATATCCTTATAACATGACAGAAAAATATAATTATAACAGAAAAATGTTACGATACAATATATAACTGATCTATTTATCGATCTGTAGCAATGAATCGCGAGAATAATATTAGATTCGGAACCGACAATTTGGGGAAACACATTATTCTTTTAACATGGAGAATAACGTTACGATACAATATATACGATCTATTCGTCAATCATGAAAATATTATATTTGGAGCCGATAATTTGGGGAAATGCATCTCGTTATATTTCTATAATATGGAGAAAAACCTTACGATACAATATCGATCTATTCATTTCGATTTGTAGCAATGAATCGCGAGTACAAAATTAGATTCATCGAAGCCGACAACTTGGAGAAACGCGTTATTGGAAGAATTTTCCGTTAAAGTTTCATAATCCTTGTAATATGGAGAAAAATGTTACAGAATTTAAATTACGATACAATAACCGATCTATGATTCGTTGATTCGTAACAATAAATCGCGAGAATAAAATTAAAATCGAAACCGAAAATGTGGGGAAACGCGTCTCATTATATTCTTTTAACATGGAGAAAAACATTACGATACAATATATAGCCGATCTATTTATCGATCTGCAAAAATGAATCGCGAAAATAATATTAGATTCGAAACCGAAAGGGTGAGGAAACACGTCTCATTATATTTTTATAACATGAAAAGAAACGTTACGATACAAATACAATATATAACCGATCTATTCATCGACCTGTAGCAATGAATCGCGAGAATATTAGATTTGGAATCAATAATTTGAAAATGCATCTCATTATATTTTTAAACATAGAGAATAACGTTACGATACAATATATAGCCGATCTATTTGTCGATCTATAGCAATGAATCGCGAGAATATTAGTTTTAGAACCGATAATTTGAAGAAATGCATCTCATTATATTTTTATAACACGGAGAAAAACATTACGATACAATATATAGATTTATTCATCGATCTGTAACAATGAATCGCGAGAATATTAGATTTGGAATCAATAATTTGAAAATGCATCTCATTATATTTTTAAACATAGAGAATAACGTTACGATACAATCTATAGCCGATCTATTTATCGATCTATAGCAATGAATCGCGAGAATAATATTAGATTCGAAAATGTGAGGAAACATATCTCATTATATTTTTATAACATGAAGAAAAAAGTTACGATATATAACCGATCTATTCATCGATCTCTAGCAATGAATCGCGAGAATATTAGTTTTAGAACCGATAATTTGAGGAAATGCATCTCATTATATTTCTATAACACGGAGAAAAACGTTACGATACAATATATAAATTTATTCATTTATAGCAATGAATCGCGAGAATAAAATTAGAATTAATCATCAAAGCCGATAATTTGGGGAAACGCGTCTCTTTATATCCTTATGACGTGTAAAGAAACTTTACGATACAATATATAGCCATGATCCATGATTCATCGATCCATACCAATAAATCTCTAGAATAAAATTAGACTCGATGCCGACAATTTGGGGAAACGTGTCCCGTTTATATATCCTTATAACTTATATAGAAAGAACGTTACGGAATTCGCGTTACGGTACAGGTAACGATATACAGGCAGTGGATGGCGTGTTTCCGGTTTCGATTTCGCGGCGTTTAGTTTCCGATATATATGGAATCACGGCCTCCACGCTCGAGTTTATCCACTCGATTTCGTCGGCCGTCATCCGAGAACAATAGCCGGCTAGAAACGGAGCCGCCGCAAGCAAGCAAGAATCGATCGGTCGATTATTTATCGGGGGATACCCATCGCTTTGTTCGACAGTGGCATGGTTCTCGTGGGCGACCGGGGCATCCGGTATACCGCAGGAGGTATCAATTTCCGAGGACGCGATGAGCGCGTCCTGCGAAGGTTACGAGCACCGAGTTGTCCTTTCCAGCGTTGGATTTTCACGGGGCGTTCATTATTGGGAATTAACGATCGATCGTTATCACGCGGACACGGATCCAGCCTTCGGCGTAGCCAGGGCCGAGGTGTCGCGGGATAGAATGCTCGGTGAGTAAATATATGTATATATATATATATATATATGTTTTGGATAAGATTTTTGTCTCTTTCTTTCTTTTTTTTTAAACGAGTAAATTTTCACAAATTATTAATTATCCTTTGCTTAAGAATATTAGTTTTATTCTCTCGGCTATTACTTGGATTCGAACGACAACGATGTATATTTATTTGGATTGATCTTTCTAGAATAATCTTGTGAAGAATAATGCAACGATATAGATTATATCGCGGATCAGGCAACATTCGATATTGGTTCGATAGCTTATAAGTTTTTGAGTTTTGTAAGCGTAGAACTGTAATGATTAGTTCGAGCGAGAGATGATTTTGAGTTTGACTTTTCGTCATTGAATTTACGAAATTACTTCTATTCGTAAGGGAATTGAGAGAGAAGGAAAATAGCGAAGCAAACGGACCATGAATGGGAGAGCACGGTTCTGTTAACAGAAGAGTTAAGAAGATAGATATAGAGTTTAACCAAATTTTCTTTCTTTGTGCATAAAATAGTATAAAAGTTATAATAAAAAGTTAATATAAAAATATAAAAGTTTTATACGTGTTGTTCGCAAAGGGTTAAATAATTTTTCTTCTGTGCGCGAAATCGAGTGAAAAATTGTCGACCCCATCCCTCTTCTCGAATCCCCGCTTTCAAAAGGCACTAGTGTATCTAGGACGCGAACTTATTTCCCAAGATTTCCATTATTAATTAAAGAAAAATAATCTCGTCGAACGAAATGAAAAATTTATAATTTCGATGAAATCGAGGAAAAAACAAACTACTCTAAATCGCTCGAATTATCTTTTTTCTCTCTCTCTCTATCGATCGTAAAAATTCGAATAAAAGTCGCGTAATTGAAAATCGAAGAAAAATCCGTAGGAAAGATTCGTCCATCAACATCCTTTGAAAAGAATAACAGAATCAGATAAAGGGAGAGAAAAAAAGATGGTTCGCAAAGCGTTTAAATAATAATAATAATAATAAACAATTAATTTTAATTTCCCAAATCATTTCGTACTTTCTTCTTCTAAAAAATCGAAGGGTGAAAATCCGTAGAAATGGCAGAACCAGATAAGGCAAAGGGGAGGGGAAAAAAGATGGTTCGCAAAGGGTTTAAATAATAATAATAATAATAAATAATTAATTTTAATTTCCAAATCATTTCGAACTTTCTTCTTCTAAAAAATCGAAGGGTGAAAATCCATAGAAATGGCAGAGCCAGATAAGACAAGGGGGAGGGGAAAAAAGATGGTTCGCAAAAGATTTAAATAATAATAATAATAAATAATTAATTTTAATTTCCCAAATCATTTCGAACTTTCTTCTTCTAAAAAATCGAAGGGTGAAGAAAAATCCGTAGGAATGGCAGAACTAGATAAGACAAGGGGAGGGGAAAAAAGATGGTTCGCAAAGGGTTTAAATAATAATAATAATAAACAATTAATTTTAATTTCCCAAATCATTTCGAACTTTCTTCTTCTAAAAAATCGAAGGGTGAAGGAAAATCCGTAGGAATGGCAAAACCAGACAAGGCAAAGGGGAGGGGAAAAAAGATGATTCGCAAAGGGTTTAAATAATAATAATAATAATAAATAATTAATTTTAATTTCCCAAATCATTTCGAACTTTCTTCTTCTAACTGTATATACTATTCCATCCGCACACAGGGAAGGACGACAAGGGTTGGAGCATGTACATAGACCGGCAGCGTTCTTGGTTCATGCACGGGGGTGGCCACGCGCAGAGGACCGAAGGCGGGGTGCAGCAGGGCTCCACGGTGGGGGTGCTCCTCGATCTGGACACCACGCACACCCTGCGCTTCTTCGTGAACGACCAGCCCCAGGGAGGGATCGCGTTCCGCGATCTCTACGGCGTGTTTTATCCGGCAGTGAGCTTGAACCGGGGGGTGACCGTCACTTTGCACACAGCGTTGGACGTGCCCCGTCACTTGCTGGCGTTGCACGAAGAGTACATGACGGACACGATCCAGAGCTAGGGGTACCTAACCGTCCTGAAGAAGGGCCTTTTGCAGGAAGTCGGCTCGCCCTGCCCCTCGTCGGCGAGCGAGAAATCGTGCAGGGAGTTGTTCAACGGCCAGCTCGAGAAGATCGTCGAGGAATCCCTCGGTGAGACCAACTGACCGTCTTCCACCGACCCACGCTTCGACGCCACTTCGACTCAGCGCAACTTTCTTTCCAACTTTAATTTATTTATTTATTTTTTTTTTTTTTTTCCGTTCTACAGGAATGCCTCGATATATATCCTCTTACTTTGATCAAATTATCGCGCCCTAATTCTCGTTCGCTCGTTTCGTGGGTTTCCGGGTAAGCTGAATATATATATTGAGAGATTCGATTGATCGTAATTTCGATCGACAATTTCGGCCTGTGCGTTAATAAATCTCGGAGATAAGGAGAAGAATTTCGCCGCCCTTCCTCGACAAATAATTATTGTACTGCTTCGTAAGAATGGGAAAGGGAGGGAGGGAGGGAGGGAGGGGAGTTTGTGGACGAAACGCGGAATCGTTTCGTGGTATTTTTTTCTTTTTTTTTTTGGAACAACAAGATTATTTCTCTCTGGAAAAAGATCACTGCCAGAGTATAAGTCAAGAATACGTCGAATCGAAGACTGCCATTTTTCGAGGGGGTTGAAATAAAACCGAAATATTCTCCGTCTAACGATCGTAAACGGGATCGTATTCTTATCCATATCGACACGTATAACGTAAGTGTAGTAGTCGCGTAGGCATAAGATAAGCTCTATCGATATTTAATAAGATGCATTGCGAGGGATAAAAAGAAGGAAGGAAGGAAGGAGGGAAGAGATGAAGGGATATCGCAAGGCTAGCAGACACGCAGCAAACAAGCACGTATATACAAGCAAGCTCGTAAGCTTTAGCGAAAAAGTAAAGCGAGTCGAATAAACGTTTTCTAGTCCCCGATAAAAATTTTCGTCCGTTTTTTTTTTTTTTTTCTTCCTCTTCCTTAACCTTAACCCTTCCCCTCGGTTGAAGAATTCACGCCCATCACGTCGAGTGATTTGCTTTTAATCGCGCTACCTACTTGATCCCTTACTCGTCGCATTGTTATTTCTCTTTCTTTCTCTCTCCATCTATCTATCTGTCTTTCTCTCTTTCTCTTTTTTACACAATTTTTATATCCACCCACGATGAATACTACTATTATCGACTACTGCGTTTCTCCGCTTCTTTCGAAGCAAAAAAAAAAAAAAAAAAAAAAAAAANAAGAAAAAAAAAAAGAAAAAAAAAAATATTACGAATATTCGAATTTAATGCTTATTTAAAGATAGATGATGCAGCGCACATACTCGTGAAAACGTTCCTCCCAGCAACCAGATCGAGGAGGGACCAAGATCGGCGTTGTATATATTTGTATATACATATCTCGATTGTATTTCCATATCTGATGAATTTGCCAACTGTATTTACAACAACCCTATCAATAAATCACAGCAGAAAGAGAGAGATATCATTCGCGATCGTTTCTATTTTTCCTTATATAAGCAATCCCCTCTCCCCCCTCCTCTCCTCGATTTCAAAAGTACTTCTAAGGAAGAGAAGTCCTTTCCCTTCATATTTTGATTCATTTCCGTACAAATATTTCCCTCTCTCTCTCTCTCTCTCTCTCTCTCTCTCTCTCTCTCTCTTCCCCTCACTCTCTCCAAGAAAGGATAAAATCTTGAAGAAATTTCATTATCATCACACTTATTTAAAATCGACCTTAATAATTTTTCCTTGGCTTTATAACAAGGAACAATAATATAACTGTTCCTTATCCACTAATGACGCAACCTTGATATTCCCACAGGTGGGAGTGGATGAAGTGTCATTAACAAGCATTGAAAGTACGCTTTAAAACCGACTTAAAATGAGAAAAGAAGAAGAAGAAGAAGAAGCAAAAGAAGAAACGTTTAAAAAAACGTGTATCCAATTTATTCGAATATATGACTTTTAAACTTGCGAGCATTCTTCTTCCATCTCTATTCGAAACGAAATCGTCGGCCAGCCTATGGAAATAAAGGATGAGTATGCAAATAAATCGTCGATAATTTCCCTTAATTATTCCCGATTCGAGAAAGAGATACATTCTCGTATCTCTCCATCTCACGCGTATCTTTGTACAGATTTGTATTCGAAGGAGGGGAAAAAAAAACTCGAGTTACACGATTACGCAAACGTAACGGCAACGTAGCGAAAGAGAAATATTTCTCGCGTCGCGAGATTCGACGAGATGCGTCGATGGATCGAACAATGGCGCATTATTGCAAGCAACCGATGTCCTTCTCAACTCTCCTCTCCTCGCTGCTGCCTCCAAAACGATTTCGATTCCCTTCCTTTCCAGAATCCACGTTTTCTTCCACGTTAATTCTCTCTCTCTCTCTCTCTCTCTCTCTCTCTCTCTCTCTCTCTCTCTCTTCCTTTTTGTCGAAGATTTTTCCGATGCAAACGAAAAGAAAGGAAAGGAAAGGAAAGGAAAAGAATCGTCGAAAAAGAAGAGAAGTAAAGATTCTACGCCAAAATCTCTCTCTCTCTCTCTCTCTCTTTCTGTCTCTCTCTCTCTCTCTCTCGAGTCAATCGAGCGGATTTAGAACGATCGAGAGCAAAATCACCATTATCGTTGTACCATATCCGTTAACGTTAAATTTCATTTTCTTCTTCTTCTCCTTCTCCTCCTGCTCCTCCTTCTCCTCGCATCCTGCCCCTTTCGTCCCTTTCCGCCTCCGACCCGATTCCCAATCACGATTTCACTCGCTCCTCTCCCCCTACTCGATGAATTCAACGCGTTATTGTTCGCCGCGAAATGAATTTGTCTGGCCGCGAATAGGAGAGAAGGAGGAGGAGGAGAGGGGAGGAGGAGAGAAGAAGGGAGGATGGAAACGAGAACGAGCTTAGCGGAAACGAGCGGATTTGATTCGCAATCACCCGATCGACGTCCTTGCTAATTAACACGTTCCCCTTTAACACGCCTTTTTAACACGATTCTTTCGAGTCGAGAGAGAACGCCGCCTCTTTCTCGGAACGGAACTGCCGCGCCATCGCCTCGAGGAGTTCCTTTTTCTCTTTTCTTTTTTTTTTTTTTAAATACTTGGATAGATGAAACGAAGGAAAGGAAAGGAGAGAGAGAGAGAAATGAAAAAGGAGAAGGAACGCGGAAGGAGAAATATTCTCGACTTCCTCGACGCGAGACTCCGATACTCGTCAAGCTGATGGCCTTCGCTCGATACTCGCTCCTCCGCGGGATAAAGCATCCCAAGGAGGGAAAGTTTGTACTAGATCTTCGGATTTAGTTTCGATCCACTATTTCGAGAATCGTTATGTATTATAATATTAACGGAATTGTTTTTCTTCTTTCTTTCTTTTTTTTTTTGTCGTACGAAAATAAATCCAACGGATTCAAGAATTGTCTATCGAAGCATGAGTTACGTATGTTTGCACATAAACAGTAATGGCGTAGGAATATTTTGTTGTATTGTTTCCTTTAATCGATGTCTCCATATACGTGCAATATTTGTCCATTAATCGTACGATTGTAATCTTTTTATTCAACAAATTCTATCCTTGAAATATACAGATTTCTATAATTATATTTCTATAATAACACTTATATTAATAGATATAAAAGAAAAATTATTTTTTTCTTCTTTTTTTTTTTTTTTTTACTCGAATCTAATACAGTTAATCATGTCTTAATATACGTGCAAACGATACTTGTCCATTAATCGTACGATTGTAATCTTTTTTTTCAACAAATTCTATCCTTGAAATATACGAAATACAAATTTATATTTCTATAATAATTAATTTGCATTAATAGATATATAAAAGGGAAATTGTTTTTTTCTTCTTTTTTTTTTTACTCGAATCTAAAACAGTTAATCATGTTTTAATATACGTGCAAACGATACTTGTTCATTAATCGTATGATTATAATCTTTTTCCAACAAATTCTATCCTTGAAATATACAAATTTATATTTCTATAATAATTAATTTGCATTAATAGATATAAAAGGGAAATTGCTTTTTTCTTCTTTTTTTTTACTCGAATCTAAAACAGTTAATCATGTTTTAATATACATGCAAACGATACTTGTCCATTAATCGTACGATTGTAATCTTTTTTTTCAACAAATTCTATCCTTGAAATATACAGATTTCTATAATTATATTTCTATAATAACACTTATATTAATAGATATAAAAGGGAAATTGCTTTTTTCTTCTTTTTTTTTTACTCGAATCTAAAACAGTTAATTGCATTATATCTCAATGTACATGCAAACGATACTTGTCCATTAATCGTACGATTGTAATCTTTTTTTCCAACAAATTCTATCTATTCTATTCTTGAAATATACGAAATACAAATTTATATTTCTATAATAATTAATTTATATTAATAGATATATTAAATTGCTTTTTCTTTCTTTTTTTTTTTACCGGAATCTAAAACAGTTAATTGCATCATCGAATCTATTAAAGTTTCTTGCGATGGTGTTTTTGTATTAATAATAACAATTTCAATTTTCACTCGATTATTATTAACTTAGGTTAATAATTTAGAAAAATTGAAAGATTTTTTTAAAGGGAAGGAAGATCGTACGTTAGCGAATCTATTGGCGAATGATTGTTCCCCCTTTTAAAGAAAAATATTACATTCGAATCGGGCGAAACCGGCGGAATCGGCGATCGACGCCCTTGCCAATCAACGCGTTCGCCTTTAACACGCCTCCTCCGTTCTTTCTTTTTAAAATACTCGGATAGATGAAACGAAGGGAAGAGAGAAAGAAAGAAAGAAAAAGAAAAAAAGGAGAAGGAACGCGGAGAAGAATCTTTTCTACCTCCGCACTCGTCAAGCTGATGGCTTTCGCTCGATATTTCTCCCCGGAATATGCCGCTTTTTTAAGCGGTAAGATCTGCCGGCTATTCTATTCGAGACGAGCGAAACGTAAATTTGTGCCAACGTTGATCGAAACCACACACACACACACACACACACACACACAATTCGAGCGAGTTTTTTCTTCTGTGCGCCGCGCGAAATCGGGTGAAAAATTGTCGACCCGATACCTCTCCTCGAATCGCGGCTTTCAAAAGGCACTAGTGTATCTAGGACGCGAATTCATTTTCCATTACCGATTAATAAGAAAAATAATTTCTTGGAATGAAATGAAAAATTCATAATTTCGATGAAATCGTGGAACAAATTATTCTAGATCGTTCGAGTTGTCTCTTTATCGATCGCAAAAATTCGAATGGAGGTCGCGCAATAATTGAAAATCGAAGGGTGAGGGAAAATCGTGTAGGAAAGATTCGTCGTCTATTTCTACGATTAACATCGTTTGGAAAGAATGGCGAATTGGTCGAGGCGGAACCAAGACATGGCGAGGGGAGGGGAGGGGGCGGGGGAAAAAAAGATGGTCGGAAGGAGGACGAGAGGGCAAGAGGCCTCGAGTTACCTCCTGCCGAGCAAACCAGAAGCCAGGAAAGTGGCGCAACGCCACGGTAGAAGAGTCACCGCGAAGTTTCGTCTTTCACCGCAAAACTGAGCCGGGAGGAAGCAAAGCTTGTGTCCGCCTTTAAAAAATCGAACCAGCACCGCTTTCGTAACGAAACGCCCGCCTCTTCCTCTCCCCTTTCTCTCCTCTCGAGCACTGATACTATCACCACCGCTGTTATTTTTCCTCCTATTTCGAGGAATGGAAAATACGCGTCGAGTTTCAAAGGGATGCTCCTCGATCCGTGCGCCGAATTACCGATAGTCGAAACGAGTCTGTTGTCGTTCATCGCTTCGAGGGAGGCATTGCATAGAAAATCCCCTCCACCGTAGAAAATGAATTCTCCCATTGTTTCGTTCGATGTGTTGTAAAAAAAAAAAAAAGGAAAGAAAGAAAGAAAAAGAGAGAAAGAAAGAATCCTCGTTGCGCGATTTCGATTCCGATCGTCGAAAAATATCGAGAACGATTTTCCAATCTAACGAGATATCGAGACGATTTTCTCGAAATCGTTTAATTTTATTTTTCGTTCGTGGGATAGGTTTTAAAAAAAAGATTAAAGATTCCTGTGAAACTTTATGGGGGTATTGGAAGAAATTCTGGAAAATCGTAAAGTTTTAAGGAACAATAAGGTGTTCTAGGACACGAGTGGAAAGGCGAGAAACTTAATCTGGGATCAGACCGAGGATTAACGATGCTCGACGAATGCGATCGACTGCGATTTGTCTGCACTGCAAGAAGCGGATTATCGTTACGTTCAACCTATCGAATAAAATCACGAGGACAAAAAAATTCGACGAGGACAAAGATACCTCGCTTAATTATTACGTTCTCTAGCAGCATCTTTTTCAAGATGAAAAAGAAAATCGTTATCGTTTCCAATCTCATATTCGTTTCACGTGTATTTCAAGAAAAATTTGACACACGATCCAAGATAATTTAACCATTCATCCATACCGATGAAATTTGATTGGAATCGAATAAAAACGAACGAGAGATTTAATAACGTGAAAACTCGGCCAGCTTGGGAAACGAAGATGGAAATATAGTAGGATGGTTAGTCAGTCGCGCCGCGTGGAGAATACGATTAACAGGCAACGCGTGGAAATTAATTTTCGCGGTTGGGAAACGATCGTCGCCACGCGAATCTCCAATGCTCCTCCTCCTCCTCGAACCAATTCCCAACGATAATCGGCCTTCCCTCCCAATTATTTCCTGCTCGTTGCCTCTGTCGGATCGTTACCTCCTCTTCAAGAAGATTCCGAATCTACTTTGTTGCAACTACAAACGAATCACTTCGATTCGTACATCTACGTCTATTCCGCTAATTGTTATTGTTATTAATTTCTAGAGCTTCTTCTAACCGGATATAAAAACATTTGTTTTCGAAAACGTAGAAATCGAATCGAATTTTTTTTCAATAATATATATTTGAATTTATCAACAAGCGAAGTGTTGGAATTGGTGTTCTCGCTCGTAGAGACGAATGTCGAAGCTACGTTAAATTTCGCACGATCGGTAAAGTAATTTATATCGATAGGGAAGTGAACAGTCGTGTAGAGAAAGAGAGAAAAAAGAGGAGGAGAGAACGAAAACGCAACGAGGAAGAAAATTTGTCGTGAAGTTGAACGGAAAATGAAGAAAAATCGAAAGAAAGATTTGAACCTCGTAAATTTTCACAATCCCTGGCAAATGTTATCAATTTCACGTTCGATCGTTGGAAACTTATTTATGTTTCTTTCTTTATCGTACGATTGGGACAAATGAAATATGGTTGCCAAGAAGTAAAGAATTTCTATCATTGTCTATTATTTTCGACAGAGAATCAAGAATTTGTATATATCTCCGTAAAATGTTTACTTATTTACTGTACGCTTACAGTAATTTATGAAAATTATCGCTCATCCGAGACATTTGTTCGTCGAGAATTTTAAAAATAAAGGGACAAACAAGGCCATAATTAACGCAATCATTCAAACGATTTGAAAAAGCAGTATAATAATAAGCACCTATAATTATTTTTATTTTTTTCAATTAAATTAAACCATATATATATGTACATCGTTTTGTATGTTACATACAATATGTCGCGTAAATATCGCATTATAAAGAATCGTGTATAAAATAGTTGTTTCTAAATATTGTTTTGTGATTTAACCAGTGACAAGATAAAACTATGGCAACATTTGAAAAAACTTTGAAAAATCGATGATACAAAGTGATAAAGGATCCATTACGGATTCCGATGTAACGCAAAGATTTAATTATCAAATTTACGAAGAATTATGAAGAATTTTATTAAATGCATTATAAGATGTTTCTAAATCGAAAATCAATTGTCTGACTTGATTATCGGATAATTCATCGGAAGCGGACATATTATTCAAAGTTTGTAGCCATTCGGCAACTTTTTCTTTTCCATCGAAATCGCTTGGCAATATACTCAATCGATTCATGGTGTCCACTAGATCTCTTAAATCTGGATGTAACTGATCCATCGCTTTGATTTCTAATCGTAATTTATCCATTAACGTAATGAACAAAGAAACGATATCAGCGATGCATTTAGATGTATTGCCTTTGTCATCCTTTATGGTGATTGGTCTGTCTTCCTTGATCCTCTCGAGTGCTGCTGGACAATCTAATCGAAATGCTCTAGCAAATGCATCTATTGTAGGAAATTGATCGCTTTGTACCTAAGCAAAAAAATATATTTAAAACTAGTTACAGTTATCGTGATAAATTTATCATAAGATTAAAATACCTGTTTGAAAGCTGCTCTATATTGCACCAATAATTTGCTACAAGCAGCTGTATATTCTTTTGGAGTCACACAATCTCTGATATAAGCTTTCTCTAAATGCTGCAATGTATTCACAACTGCGTATAGATCAGCTTGATTGTCATGCTTTTCTCTTTCTCTTGCATTCTTGTAAAGCTTCACTTCTTCATAAAGTTCAGGTCGATCTTGAGTTATAGACATTATTACACCTGTAATCATGACAAATAATAATAGAACAAAATAATAATAATTATAGCAAATGTCAAGTTCTATTAGGTTAGGTTTGATTAAATTAACTGAATCAATCATTTTGATAATAAATCATTAAGAAAATATTATAATAAATTAATATAACGTGATATGATGAAAAAAAATAAATAAAGAACAAATAAATAATCTGTTATAATGAAAATTATAATATAAATTAAATATTAAATGAAATGTCAAATGACAGCTATATACATTAACTATATAAAAATAACATGGATGAATAATAATAATAATAATATAAATACTTACGTTTCAAATTCTCTTATATTTTTCTCGATTATATTATATTAAAATTAAGAGAAAAATAAGATTTACAGAAAAATAATAATATTAGACTTGAACAAAAAACTTTTACCAACAATGCAAAAAACGTTGTGCGAGGAAGCAGCCATCTATCGGATGATTTTCGTTTTAAAATATGCACATACATACATATATATATATTCTGTTTTTAAATATATATTTCTGTTTTACTCGTGCATCGTAAGCGTAATAAAAAGTAATGTAAACATGTATAAATTAAACAAAAATATCAAACTTTATTTGGTAAATGATTTAATAAGGCAAATTTATAATTTATAATAATTTATAATAAGTAACAAAAAGATTGCTTAAATTACAAAAAAATCATAATTATTGCATAAACAATTACGTATAATCTCGTTATTTAATGACAAACACTATGTCATATAACATGAATTCTATCATAAAGATTAAGTATATTATACAAATATTAATTTAAACATACTATATTTTCTTTCATATTTTTTTTTTATGATTTTTTTTATGATTCCATGAATAATTTTTCGATAATATTTGGTTTGTTAAATCGATCTTCGCAAGTCGAAATCATTGTGTTTTTATCAATACATGCACAATGAAATTCTTTCGTAACCGACTTTTTAAATTGATTTAAATTTATTTTATATTTTTTTATATCTATTTCGTTATCAGGTACAACACGTATGTATGTTACATGAAACATTGATTCTTTTTCGTCTAAAATTTCCCATGGAGGGAAAATTTGTACTAGACCTTTAGATTTCATTTCGATTCGACCTACTATTTCGGGAATCGTCATGATCTTTATAAATTTAACGGAATTATTTTCTTTTTTATGCAAAAATAAATCGAATGGATCTTCGATCACAAATCCATTCAAGAATTGTCTACCAAAGCGATTTATGCATGTTTGCACATAAACAGTAATGCATGGCATAGGAGTATTTTGTTGTATTGTTTGTTTTAATTGATGTCTCCATATACGTACAAACGATACTTGTCTATTAATCGTTGATTGTAATTTTTCCAACAAACTACCTCTGAAATATAAAATATGAATTAGATTTATATTTTTATAATAATACTTATATTAGTAAATATAAAAGGAAAATTACTTTTTAGGTTTCCTTCTTTTTTTACCCGAATCTAATATAGTTAATTGCACCGAAGCATCTGCCAAAGTTTCTTGTGGTGGTGTTTTTGTATTAATAATAATTCCAGTTTGACTCGATATATTATCCGTAATGTTTGTAACTTGGGTTGAAAATTGAGAGATTTTCTGAGAAGATCGTACGTTAATGAACTTATGCGAAAGTTGTTCCCCTTTTAAAAAAAATGTTACATCCGAATCTTTATCGGACATTTGTGAATTTATCGATGTGCATTTCGAAACAGGAAATGCTAAATTATGATTATGATTTTTATTAATATAATCTGTATCTGTATCTTCTATATTATCATGAATGCTAGAATCATTATCAGTATCATTACTTATATTTACAGTATTATTAATACTATCGTTATCTTCATCTTCACTAGTCTCAATTTCAATTTTCACAACATCTTTTATTTCCTTTGGACTATCTTCTATATTTAATATTTTTTTATACATTGATGAACACGATTCTGTAGATTCTAAATCTTTCTCTGAATAATTTAAATGACTGACTTTAAAACCATCTTCTAATTTTTTTAACAATGCACGTTTCTTTTGACTGTTTAAGATTTCCCATTTCTTTTTCAAGGGTACTTCAATCGAATTACAAGAATTCATAGAATTTATGTCAGAATTTACATAATTATTTTCTATTTCTTGAATTTCCTTTTTTTGTTCAGTACGTTTGCGTTTGTAAGAATTTTTAATCAAAATAGGAGATTTTTTGACTTTATATATTTTAGTATGAATTAAAGGGGATGTCGTAACATCATTTGTAACATATTTATTTTCAATGCTATCTAAGGCTTTTCGCTGTGCATTTTCTTCTTCATATTTTCTTCGGCTTCTTTTGTAAGAATAAGAATTCTTGACAAGTATAGGAGAAACATTTGCATCAGATGATTCATACGGAACAGTAATAGATTGAGAATCAAATAGTTTCCTTCTTATATTTTTCTTTTTATCATTATTATCTATTCTCATACGTTTACTACTTCCACTTTCTTTAGTACTTGTATTTTGTGAATCATTTGAATGTATATTTTCAATGTTGTTTATACCATTATTCTCTAATTTAACTTTTTCTCTAATAAATTTACTTGTACATTGATTACCAAATATCGGTGAAGTTCTCGTAGAATCGGTAATAGAACTTTGATGATCTGTGATAACCGACGTATGATCCAGAACGGAAGATGTTTCTTTTGAATCGATAGCATAATTAACGTGAGTTTCTATCCATTTGTGCACAAAATCGCCCTTTTCGATGTAAGGTATATCTGCCACATTTTTTTCAATTAACAATACACCATCTTTTTGCCCTTGAAATTGCTTAACTACGTTTAAGGTTAGGATCGATTGGCCAAAGTTCAATCTTCTTACATGATTCGGTTTCTTTGTCTCATAGCTTATGTTTTGATCAGCTTTATGCATTTCCGTATTATCATTTATCAAAATCTAAAACATATAATATTTCTTTCAAATTTCTAATTTAATGTTTTCGTTATAAGAATACACAACAAGCATATGTCCGCCATGTTGCATCACTATGGAAACGCGTCTGAAAGAAAATCTTACAAGACGGGTACCTTGTGCCCCATTGAAATTCATTTACGCGGCAAACACGTATTTTTCGTTCATTTATTTCTCAAAAAATTATAAACAGTAAAGCATTCTTTACAAAATTTCCGTACACGTGGAAATAAAAATACATAAATCACGTTATTGGAAATCTATATTTTCTATATATTCTATACTTTTTCGTACAAATCAAATTAGACCTAGATTAAATAAACTCAATAACGACAAACGAAATGAACGAAATTAACGAAAAATATCGCGAATATTTCATCAAACAAATTTAAAAATCAATATCTTAAAGGGGAAAAAGTATCGTTACGAAAAAAGATATTCTCGAATATAATTAAATTATATATGAAATGAAATTCGGGAAATTCGTCGAGCATATTTTATATCGTTCGATATAAATGTAACAATGGAACTGTGGATGCGAGGAAAAGTGGGGAAAAAATGGAACGATTTCGAGTGGAACAAGGTGATTGGCATCTGACTGTGAACGCGAAGGAGAGAAGGGTTGGTACGAAGAAGAAGGGATGTGCGCGTGGAAACGATGGAGGAAAAGAGGAGAAGGAGGAAAGGTGAAGAAGGAAAGAATTAGCGCGAGTGTACGCGTAAATTCGAGCGAGCGATAGAAGTCCGGTTGTGGTGCACGCCGTACAATTACCGGGCGGCGAGTGTCGAGGAACCCTCTTTTATATTAATAGTCGAGATAGTAGTCGAGCGTGTAGTGCGATAGGAGAGTGGCGATCGAGGCGAAGAGGAGGGTAAGGGAGAGTCCCGGAGGATCGTGGAGGGAAGCGCATAGGACGGTTTCACCTCGAGAGAGACCGAGAGAGGATCAAGAATCGTGGCGCAAGGGGGACAAAGACGGAGCGAGAGAGAATACAAGAGAGGGTCCAAGGGGGACGTGTTCGAAACGATAGATAGGAGGATGGGATACCGTGGACGGACCCCTTGTATCCACGATTGCTTCAGTTTCAGTTCGCGATGGAGGCTACTTGCTCCTTCTAGTGGTGGTCTACTACCGTCGGTTCTATCCTGTGTGTCGAGGGAGAGCGAGTAAACGATAAAGGGTGGGGAGCGGAACAGGAGAGGAAAGGAAAAAATAGAGGGAGGGTGTGAGAGAAAGAGAGAGGAAGCGAAAGTGTCAAAAGGGGTAGGCGGGAAACAGCGTGCGGTCGCGAGACAAGTCGGACGAAAGAGAGAATCGCGACGATATGATAGACGGTGAGGGTGAAGGTGGTCGACGAGGAGACGCGAACGTGGAAACGCGGATGCGGCACAGAACTTAAAAAAAAAAAGGACGAACGATGGTATACGCGTCGTAGGATAGATCGAAGGTATCGATAGGTGGATCGATGTATCGCGAAGCGAACGATGAACCGTGTGCAGTGGATCGAAATCGAATCGAGGAAAAGTGTCACGATAGGTTTATTGCGAATTTTTCTTTTCCAGTATCTACACGCGGGTGTTGGAAAGGGTGTGATTTTTCACGTGTAAATATCAACGAGTTAAACGAGTATATCTCTCGTTGATTTTGAATCGGTGTTGTTGATCGAGTAAGCAACAATTCTCCGATAGATCGAACTTTTTCTATCGGTAAGATTTTTTTATATATATATATATATCAGAGAAAAAGGAAAATGAGGAAGAAAGAGAGAAAGAGAGAGAAGGAAGAAAGGAAGGAAGGAAAACAGAAAGAGAGAAAGAGAGAGATAATTTTTTTCGCGCGGTTTAATAACGATTAAGAAAAGAGGAATTAGAAGCGATACGATAGAATTATTATCGAGAATGTGCTCGCGAGTTCGAAATCCAAAGGAGCATGAAACGTCGCGATAATGGGACGGAAAAATTTTTTTCTGGACGGGAGCTTTTTGCCATAAGCATGCCATAAATCGTAATTGTTTAACTATTCGGTAGCTGAAACGTGCGGCAAGCCATATAACATAACGTCTTTTCCTTATCTTCGTTTTTTTCAAATTATCTCTATAGTTGATCGTCGTAAAAATAAACTGTTTACGGGCGTCATTGTCGTCGGCGAATATAGAAAATTGAGTGAAACGAGGACAGAGAGAGAGAGAGAGAGAGAGAGGGAGAAAATAGACGAGAAGAAAGAAAAGAGAAGACGGAAAACGAAAAGAGGCTATAACGGATAAAAGGCAACGAATTAAAGAAAAGGCGAAAAATAAGAGAGGTGCGAAACGCGAAACGAAAGAAACGAAACGAAACGAAACGAAACGAAACGAAACGAAACGAACTGCCGCGAACTCGAAGCGAACCGTCACGTTCCGTTGCGTAACAGACCGATTAGAGCCGAAATCGTCTAAATAGATAAAAATTTGATTTTCAAAAGCAAGATCGATCGTAATTGGTTGGCGTTTCCGATACGTGTCGGAGATATAGGCGGGCTGGTCGAAAGAAGCGAGAAAGATAGACGAAGGAGGCGCGGTAAAGCGCGATTGGTGAAATGCGAAAGGCGAAAGGGAAAAGGGGAGAGGAAGAGAGGCGACGGTAGGCTGGTACACGCGTTGCCCCGAATAAGAGGAAGCGAGCACAAACGGGTACGAGACGGCGTGCGAAGCGGGATGACGTTGTTTGCGCTTGTGACGTCACTCGCAATTGCAGAGATAGCAACGATAGACTCGAGGATGCAGCGGCGTGCGTCACGTGGACCCGAATCCGGGTCTCGGAGGCCGGGATTCCGGAGATACGAGATTCGAGAGAGGCGGCCGCGCGTTGTGGGAATACGGCAAAGGGAAATGGATACGAAACACTGTTCGATCGCTGGGATATCGTGACGACTTCAATTTAGATTAACGACAAGGAGGCGAGGACGAACTCTCGCGTTCGTCGATCGTGAGACGTTTCGATCAAACCGTTGATGAGCTCGATTTAGGCGGTTTAACGATACCCAACTATCTAGGAACAAACTTGGAAATGGGAGGAAACGAGAGACGAGACGGGACGAGACGAGACGAGACGAGACGAGAGCAAGGACGGGAGCATCGTCGACCGATCCGCGTCTCTCGTTTCTGCAACCTTTCCGGTCAGTCGGTGGACGGTCGGTTGGTCGCGTGGACGGGCAAATTGTCGAGACCGTCTCGAAACGTCTCGGCCAGTTTCCGGCGTTTCCTCGCCAGTTTACGATACTCGCCGACGTCGAATCATGACGCTCGTTCACGGACCATGCTAGAACGAGCCTCGCATTCCGTTCTAGTTGCGACATCGGCGCGTAGTGTAACCCCAAATATTTGCCTATAGATCGCGATTGCGATTACCTTACGAGACCTTTTGAAAAACGTCCCGAGATCGCAATCTCTCTCTCTCTCTCTCTCCGATCCTCGCCTCTGATTTTTTCCTATCTTCTCTCGACAGATTCGAAATCAATCGCGAGATAAGAATATCGTACAGAAGAGTGGTGGATAATAAATCGGTCGTGGTGAGAGGCGCGAGATTGACGAGATTGAAGAAGGAAGAAGAATTTTGGATCGAAGATTTTCGGGGGTCGGACGGATGGTGGCAGGGAGGGAGAAGTGCGCGTGGTTGTAGAGATCATCGGTGGCCGAGACGGTGAGGCGGTGCTACGAGGAGGCGGCGGTGGCGGCTAACTGCTGCTGCTGCTGCGGCAGGTGCGGGGGACGCTCGGTCGTCGAAGACGATGCTCGGGAGGATCGGAAGAGAGGAGGTGTTCTCCGGCAATGGCTGATCGCGGCCGGCGCTATGCTCGCCGCGTATAAGAACGCGCGAAGACGTGCGTTCGCCGCGCTTTACGCGATTCCGAATTCGTGGCAGCAGAAAGTGTCGATCGTTGGAGAGCCGTCGCGAGATCCGCCGCCGCGTACGCGACTGTCGGTGCAACGCGCTTCTTCCTTGTGATTCCCGTCTCTCGTCTCGTCTCGGGACGGGAAAAAAATCGCGGCAGTTTCTCCTTCTTCTTTTTTTTTTCTTTTTTTTTTCTTTCTTTCTCTCTCCCTCCATTGCTCGCGACTGAGATGCTCCTCGACTCGAGTCGGCGGAGGTTGGTGGTGGTCGGCGCGGACGGACGGTCGCAGGATAGGAAGACGAGGTGAGGACGAGGCGCTCGAAGAGTGGACTTTTGGTGGGCGAGGAAGGAAAGAAAGAAAGAAAGGAAGAAAGAAAGAAAGAAAAAAGGAGGAAACTGTGGAAGGAGAGGCGAAGGGGATTGCTAGGAGAGAGAGAGAGAGAGAGAGAGAGAGAGAGAGAGGGAGAGGGAGAGAGAGTAACACGTAACGCGCGCCGGTGGCGATGATGCGTGCCTCCGAGGACGCGTAGCGGCGGTCATGCCGCGCGATTCGAGCCGATATCATCCTCGTCGTCGTCGCCGTCGTCGTCGTCGTCGCTTAACCAACGTCCAACAATCACGGAGGATCGACGTAACGAGGTGGTTGCTGGTAAGAAAAGCGGAAACATGAGCTCGATCGACTTCGACGAGGTGTTGGTGCACGTGGGCGAGAAGGGAAAATATCAGAATATCATGTACTATCTCCTCTGCATATCGGCCACTCTTCCCGCCGCTTTTCTGGCCTTCTCCCAAGTGAGTCCTGCGATCGATCCGAATTAGGACATCGATCGAACCGATTGTTACCCATATTTCTTCCCTCCTCTCCGTTTTCCAGGGGGCTGGGTCACAGGGTTTAAAACGATTTGATCGAACGATTGGCAGGTGTTCGTGAGCGCGTCCCCGGAGCATTGGTGCAGGATCCCCGAGCTCGAGAACTTGACGGATCTGATGACGTTGGAGGAGAGGAAGGCGTTGTCGTTGCCCTACGTGGACAAGTCGGACGGGAAGGTGAAGAAGTACGAGAAGTGCAAGATGTACGACGTGAATTACACGGCGATCGTCGAGTCGTGGTTGGGGAACGCGACCAGGGAAGGGGGGGAGGGCGAGGCGAGATCGACGAGGAACCGATTGCCGCCTCCACCGGTAGGCAACCCGGATTGGCCGATTACCAAGTGTCGGCACGGATGGATCTACGACAACCGGGACTACGACAGCACCCTGGTCACCGAGGTAAACTCGACTTTCTCCCTTTCTCCTCTTTTCTTCTTCTTCTTCTTCTTCTTCTTCTTCTTCGAGCCGAGACCGAGACCGAGAGGGAAACGACAGAGGCGGTTGGCTGCATACATGGCCGTCGTTTACATAATTCCGCTAAACGCCGTTAATCGGTCTCTCGGAGTGGAATTTCGCTCGAACTTTGCAGAGTGTCGCGTTTCACGGGACGACTCGCCTTGGCCTTTGCCACCGTATCATCCTCCTCCCGATGGACTCGCTCGAGTTAAACTCGGCCGGTCGGTCCCGTTCGTGGAACATAACGCGCGCGTTTCTTATTCTCGCGTCATGACCCCGCTTTCCAACCTCCTCTTTCCGCTCCATATAATAATTCCCTTTTCCATGAAAGCTGCTCGGGGAGAGAGAGAGGAATCGGTCGCGATCCGAGTTCCCCGAATTTATTCCGCCCGGATATATTCGATGATTCGGGGCGGAGATTCGAGGCGAGCGGAAGCCCGCGCAAAACTGTCCCGACCACCACTTTTCTACGCCGAACCTTTCCTCTCGAAGAGAAGACGGAAAGAAAGAGAGAGAGAGAGAGAGAGGGAGAGGGAGGGAGAGGGAGAGGGAGAGCTCGTCACGCGGCTCGCGAGCGATCCATTAACGCGTTATTAAATTGTCGCAATTAGACAACCTCTCGTTGGTGAACCGTTGACGCGGCGTTAACGAGATCGTAGCGCACGCGGGGTCGAGGATCTAGGTGCGAGGTTCTCTCCGTTTTATCGAAAAGCCTCTCGATTCGACTCGCGTGGCGGCCGCCGTTACGGCGGCAGCGTCGATCGAGATGGACGCGCGGAGGACTTGAGGACCGCGTCTCGAGGACCGATCGATCGATCGATCGATCGATGCCTCCAGGTAAAGCGGATGATCGAGAAGGAGCGGGCGAGCGACCGACGACCGATAGCTCGCGATGCTCTCCGGTGACATCGCCAATTGCCGACCAATTTACCTACCCCCGCATCCGGTCATGCGATCTGTCGCGTCAAATGCCTCGTACAAACTGCCAGCACCGCTTCTGTCGAGGGTATCGACGGAGAAACGACGAGAGGGAGAGATGGATAGATAGGTGGAGAGAGAGAGGGGGGAGAGGGAGAGGTTTGGCGTCCGCGTTTTTCGTCTCGTGACGTAAACAACGATCGAAACGATCGGATTCGGCCGCGTCCACTCGCTCTTCCGCGTCACTTCCGGCCGAGTTATATTGTCGATATGCGAGGCTCGTCGGATGGCGCTTCCCGAATCGAGGAAGGAATCCTCATTACTCCTCCTCCTCCTCCTCCTCCTCCCTTTCTCTCCCCCTTTTAGCGGCCCTTTATTCGACTGCCCCTCCTCCCCCTCCTCCTCCTCGGCGTTTCGTTGGACCGTCGTCGGTTCGACGACTCTACGCGATACGAGCGCGGAGGGTGCGCGTATTTACAGCGCGGCCCGGATTTACGCAGACGTATGACGCACAACAGAGCGATCGAGGCAAATCCTGTCCTTCCGTTCCGCCCGTGTGCAACTTCGCATCCCTTTTCGCCGCATCCTCGCCTCGTCTCGCTCGCTCGCTCGCTCGTTCGCTCGTTCACCTCCTCCTCCTCCTCCTCCCCCCTTCCCTCGTGCAGAGGAGAACGAACAGACGGATAGAGAAAATGCGATCGGCGGCGAGTCGGTGACCGAAAATTGAACGGCCGTTGCGCCATTCCCTTCTCGGCGTTCGATCGGCGGCGGAGAGGCGTGGACGCGGGGCGCGCAACCGCGAGTTGGATGGAACTCGAGCCGAACCGGATTTCCGCCGATCATTTCCCCGTTGGCCGCATTGGAGCCGCGTTGTACGCGTTGGGCGCGCGAAGGGCAAAAGAGAAGGAAAAACAAGCGGCGGGATGCGTGGACGCGGTCATATCAATGGATATCGTTTTCGAAGTGTGTCAGGGTGATAAAATGTGTGCGCGCGCGCGTCCTACGGGCGCGTGTACTGCCCTTGACAATAACTCGTAACGTAAGCGAACGTCGAGCTGTCGCAGCACGCGCGAGAGCGCTCCCGTATTTCCATGCAATTTACCTTCTGCGTTTCACGCGGACATCAAAAGTCCGTAAGTGCGAGCAATTTGCTCGAATCAAAGTTCGCGTTAAACGTGTTCACGGCTTCTAGAGGCGCGATTTATTTGCGCGAGGTTTTCGACTATGACGCCCGTGCGATCGATCGAGGTTCGACGGTCGTTTCGTTTGCTCGAGCCAAACGAAATCCTCTGTTTACATCTACTCGTCGTACTTCCTTTGCCGCTGTCCATCCAACGTCTACGCTCGTCTAAATAATATACGCTATGTATAGTTTTGTTTGTTGCTCGCCGACTTGTAACCGAGAAAGTTCTCTCTCTCTCTCTCTCTCTCTCTCTCTCGTTTCCAATATTCGCTTCAAGGAACAAGGACGCGAATTTGGCGTGTGACGCGTGTTACGCGCTGGGAATATCACGTTGTTGCAAACGTAACGCAATCGCGTCGCGTGTAAGCAAGCAATCGTACGTGAGCGTAATCTTGGCTCGTCGAGAAAACGAGGTGGAGGGGGCGCTACTCGACTTTGCCTCTCCCCCCTCCCCTGTCCATCCATCCGTCCGTCCGTTCGTCCGTCCATCTAAGATCCAACTGTTCGAACCAGCACTCTTACACTCGTCGATTTTTTGCATTACTCGCGATCGATGAAACGATGAGGGGGAGATAAGCGCGAGATAAGAATCGCACGGAGCAACGACTCCGTGTCGCGACAAAAGTCTTGACCGATTTTGGCGTGAAATCTTCGAACGGCGAATCGTGCCGCGCGCGCGGATAGGATAGGATAGGATAGGAGAGGATAGGAGAGGAGAGGAGAGGAGAGAAGTTGGGCGAGGGGCGTAGCGTTTTAATCGCCGACATGCATCCACATAGCTAGACTTGGTATGCGACAACAGCTGGTGGCCTTCCACCTCTACGACCTTCTTCTACGTCGGCAGCCTGTTTGGGAACGTGGTGTTTGGCTGGATCGCGGACAAATGGGGCAGAAGGACGGCCTTCTTCGCTATACTGTTCCTCGAGGTCATATTCTCGATCGCCACCAGCTTCAGTCCCAACTACGTCATCTACACAGCGCTCAGGACCGTGAACGGCCTCTCTTTTCCAGCCATCTATCAAATACCTTTTATACTAGGTACGGGAGAGAGAGAGAGAGAAAGAGAGAGAGAAAAAAAAAAGAAACGCAAATTCGAATTATCGTCGAATCGATCGATCGATCGATCGAATCTTTTTTTTCTTTTTTTCCCCTCTTTTTTTCCTTTTTTTCTCTTTGCTTTCAGCGCTGGAATTGATGGGGCCGAGATACAGAACGTTCGCCGGGATGGTGATTTGCATGTTCTTCGCGTCGGCGATGTCTCTTCTGGCCGTGCTGGTAACGCGTGATCGTTCTATATCCATTTAACCGTAGTTCTCTACACGTTCGTATGCGAGAAAGGCTCACGCCTCCTTCACCTCTCCACCCACCTTTTTCCAGGGCTACTTGCTCAGGCACTGGTTCACCCTCTCCCTGGCAACCTCCGTCCCCTTCGTTCTACTCTTCAGCTACTATTGGATCATTCCGGAATCGCCGCGATGGCTGCTCAGCAAGAACAGGATAGACGAGGCGGAGGTGATCGTTCAACGGATGGCGAAGATCAACGGGAAAACGGTGCCGAACAATTTTCTTCGAAAGATGGAGGTAGAGGAGGAAAAGGGAGGGAGAGAGAGAGAGAGAAAAGGAACGGAGACGAGGGAGCGTCGATTTTTCAATTTCGCAGGTGGAGATATTGCGGAGGCAGGGAATATCCTGCAACGGGACGAATTCGGGGGACGGGTCGGGGGAACCGGGCGAGAACGAGGACAGATCGCCTCCACCCGCTGCCACGCCTATGGATCTGATCAGAAATCCAAACATCAGGAAGAAGTTCTTCATCCTGGCGTTCGACTGGGTGGCGAACGCGGTCGTCTATAATGGGCTATCGTACAACGCGACCAACCTCGGTGTCTCCGATTATCTGGCCTTCTTCATCGGTAAAAACCTCGTCGCGAGTACGAACGGCCTTCGAACAACGGCTCCGCTTGTAAACATGTTTTCGCATTCTATCGGATTGCAATCTATATGCAAAGATACAGATCTGTATGCAAAGTTTAGATACGTGTGCGAATGCGTATGTTTTTTTCAAACGCGACAGTCGCGACTTCGAGCACGCGACCGTTATTCCCTTTACATGTACTATACATTGTATACGTATCTCTGTCGTATTTCAGGCGGACTCGTGGAAATACCGTCGTACGTGATCACGTGGTACGCGATGGATCGATTAGGGAGGAGATGGGTATTGTGCCTGACCATGCTTTTAGGCGGCCTCGCTTGCGTCTCTTGCATGTTCGTTCCCGAAGGTAACGAAAATTTCGCTTCCCTCGCGTTTCCCTTCGACTTTGAGAATGAAAATGCGTGTGTGTATGTGTCGCACGACAGACGCCGTATGGGTGACGGTGTCACTGGCTATGATCGGGAAATTCGGTATCGCCGCCTCGTTCGCCGTGTTCTACGTGTTCGTCGGGGAATTGTTGCCGACCGTGTTGAGGTCGCAAGCGATGGGGATCGCCTCGTTCATAGCTGGCATCGGTCTTCTCGCATTCCCGTACATCGTCCATCTGGCGGTCTACTCGAGAGTCCTGCCGCTGATCATAATGGGCACGCTGAGCGTGGCAGGCGCCCTAACCTCCATCTTCCTTCCGGAAACGCTCAACATACACTTGCCTCAAACGATCGAGGAGGGCGAGTTGTTCGGCGCCGATTTCAAGCTCTGGTCCTGTCCAACGTTGCCAAGGTCGATCTCTTTATCATTTCTGAAATTATTTATTCGCCGTCTCCATTACAATTGTCTCTATGCGCGTGCGCGTGTTTTTCTTCTTCTTTTAGAAGAGAAAACTCGGACTCGGAGGAAAAATCGGAATCGATGCCGCTCAGGTTCCTGGTGAACGGTCGGCCGGGAAATCCTTCGTTGGCAGCCCCCGCGTTGCAAGAAGAGTCGACGAGCTCGGCTGCGACAACCGCAAACGAGACGGAAGCGGACAACTCTCGTCCCGTCGTTCAACGCGCGGGTATCCCGACGGATAGTGGAGTGGTGGAGGTCGCCACCTGTGCCGAGAAAAGATTCGACGATCCATTGGCCGTGGTCGTTATCGAGCGAGGAAGAACGCAGTGAATCGCGGACTGTTCGCTATTCCTGTCAAGATTGTTCGTTGCCTCCGTGCACGGTAGATATACACGATCTACCAACGCGTTAATGTGTAATAACGCGTCTAATAACGTGTTTGAAAAATATTATGTTCCGTTCCCGTTTCTTCGTTCCCGTTCGTTCGCGATTTCTCTGAATTTCGATCGATAACCCCTCCCCCTCGTCAGGGGATAAACGAGGTGAGATAAGGTGAGAGTGCAACAGAGAGAAAGAGAGAGAGTAGAAACGATGGAAAAAGGAACGAAATCATGGCTAGACGCGATCCTTCGCGTCTCCAAGGAGAAACGGACGTTCGTCTGTTTCTGTTTGCCTGAAACGCTTTTGGTAGATAGATACCATCGAGTCGAGGATCCACGGATTTTTACCTCGTCCTTGGGTGTCCCACGGACCACCTCCATGCGGATGCTCGATTGAAATTTCTGTCTTGGTCTGGCCGTAGTTGAAATTTTCGTGCCGTTTTTTCCTTCCGTTTGCCATTACAAAGATGCGGGAAATCGTGCATATCCAAGCTGGACAATGTGGCAACCAAATTGGTGCCAAGGTCAGTACTCGCGTATACACGCTTTGATAAACATATATATATATGTATATATATATATATATACATATATATATATATATGTACATATAAATACAGTTACTCGCGCGAATTCTCGCTTCTATTCTCTCGAGGGGGAGGTGGAAATCGGACATTTATGGTTTAAAACGCGCACAGTTCGTTGAATTGTCGTGGCTGTCGGGTGTCGGTGATCGATTATCGGTAAGGAGGTAAACTAACCTTTCGCGGCCGTTACCTTCGCGTCCGTGTCTCTCGGGGCTGGGAAATTTTCACCACCTTTTTCCAGACCAACCTTCCGATATAATTTCCGATAACGACAGTTCTGGGAGGTGATCTCGGACGAGCATGGCATCGACCCATCCGGTACCTATCACGGAGACTCGGACCTACAACTGGAAAGGATCAACGTGTACTACAACGAGGCGTCAGGCGGGAAATACGTACCTCGCGCTATCCTCGTCGATCTGGAACCAGGCACCATGGACTCGGTACGGTCCGGCCCGTTCGGCCATATATTCCGCCCCGACAATTTCGTGTTCGGCCAATCCGGGGCCGGGAACAATTGGGCGAAGGGGCATTACACCGAGGGCGCGGAGCTGGTCGACTCGGTGCTGGACGTGGTCAGGAAGGAGGCGGAAAGCTGCGACTGCCTGCAAGGCTTTCAACTGACCCACTCGTTGGGCGGTGGCACCGGTTCCGGAATGGGTACCCTCTTGATCTCGAAAATTCGCGAGGAATATCCGGACAGGATAATGACAACCTTCTCCGTGGTACCGTCACCCAAGGTGTCCGACACCGTGGTCGAGCCTTACAACGCGACCCTGTCCGTCCACCAATTGGTCGAGAACACCGATCAGGCTTACTGCATCGACAACGAGGCCCTCTACGACATCTGTTTCCGTACCTTGAAACTCTCCACACCGACTTACGGTGATCTGAATCATCTCGTCTCGGCTACGATGTCGGGGGTGACCACCTGCCTCCGATTCCCCGGACAATTGAACGCCGATCTGAGAAAGCTGGCCGTGAACATGGTCCCGTTCCCACGTCTACACTTCTTCATGCCCGGCTTCGCGCCGTTAACCTCGCGCGGCAGTCAACAGTACAGGGCGTTAACGGTCCCGGAGCTAACCCAACAAATGTTCGACGCGAAGAACATGATGGCGGCCTGCGATCCGAGGCACGGGCGTTATCTGACCGTGGCCGCCGTGTTCCGCGGCAGAATGTCGATGAAGGAGGTGGACGAGCAAATGCTCAACATCCAGAACAAGAACAGCTCTTACTTCGTCGAATGGATCCCGAACAACGTGAAGACGGCCGTATGCGATATCCCGCCCCGCGGTTTGAAGATGTCAGCCACGTTTATCGGCAACTCGACAGCCATTCAAGAGCTGTTCAAGAGAATTTCCGAACAGTTCACCGCCATGTTCAGGAGAAAGGCGTTCCTTCATTGGTACACTGGCGAGGGTATGGACGAGATGGAGTTCACCGAGGCCGAATCCAATATGAACGATCTGGTATCCGAATACCAACAATACCAAGAAGCCACCGCCGAGGACGAGGGAGAATTCGACGAGGAGGAAGAGACGGAGAAGTGAGGGACGGGTTTTTATCCGTTACCCGTTTCGCGACGGGCTCCTTCTTCCTGCCCTCTTGATCCTCGACTTGCAATCCGACCAACAATATCCGCAAAATCCACGTGAAGAGATTCGCTCGGTCGAAGCCTGCAAAATATATATATATATATATATATATATATATACGAATGTATGTACACTTTCGCGGACGAAACTTTTTATCTTTGTATCGTATTTTTTTGACGAGCTGGTTTTTTGATTTGTACATTTGATCTTTTTACATTTGTTATTTTCGATGAATTTTTACGTATATTTAGACACGCACACGCATGCGCGCACCTGCGCACGCATGCATACACACACTCGCGCAAGCGCCCATGCACGCGCACACACACACAGACACACACTCCTTCAAAAAAATGCTCGCATGATACGTAATAATATGATATAAATATATTCACACATACATATACACACGTGTGTATACATACCTTGTAAGTAATTTAGAAAATGTTGTATTATCTTTGTTGAACATTTAATAGATATTCTTTATGGCATAATAATTTTACATGATGATCTTGAATTGTTTTGCGGTGGCAAACGAACGATTGTTGCGTTATATTGAAGTGGATAATCGATTTTCGAGTCGATTTATCGATTTATCGACTCGAGACAATGGCGGCGATGAACGAACTCGAGAGATCGGATCGCGAGAGATCGAAACCAGTGGAGTGAACTTGGTTCGTTGATAAATATCCCATTTTCGTTCTCTTTCTTTTCGGCGTAATCGAGGACAAAATTATCGGTGAAAAATTATCTCTTAGGTTCTTAAAAAACGGGAAAAAAATGCGGGAAATTGTGCACGTGCAGATAGGTCAATGTGGAAATGGTATTGGCGCAAAGGTATAATACGCAATCGAGTGTCGTTCTCTCTCGATATCCACATAACCTTACTTCTCAGTTTTGGGAGGTGATCGCGGACGAGCACGGTCTGACTCCGGACGGAATTTTTCAAGGGGAATCCGATCTTCAATCGCAACGATTAAACGTATATTTCGTCGAAGGGCGAGGTATCCCAGATTCAGAAAATTTACAGGTTAACCGTTACACCGAAAACGGTATTTCTCGCCTCTCTTTCCAGATAAAAAGTACGTCCCGAGAGCTATTCTGGTCGATCTCGATCCGTCAAGCGTGAACAACGTTTTGTCCGGTGCATGGGGGAAAATGTTCAAGCCTGACAACGTTGCCGTAGGTAAAGCTGGAACAGGGAACAATTGGGCAAGAGGTTACTACACGGAAGGAGCGGAATTGGTCAGCATCGCGTTGGATCTGATTCGCACGGAAGCCGAAGCCTGCGATCTGATTCAAGGTTCGTTTGTTGGTGATAAGAAAAAAGTTCGGCGCCCCAATTTGCCGAATCGTTAAGGAATATTATTGAAAACGTGTCGAAATACGTGCGGTGAGATATTCTCTAGATTTCTTTCTCTCTTCCCCCCTTTTTCTTCTCCATCCTGTTTGATCCAGGAATTCAACTCGTTCACTCGTTGGGCGGCGGAAGCGGCGGCGGGATGACCTCGTTGCTAATGACCAAACTCAAGGAGGAATATCCGGAGACGATCATCAAATCTTATTGCGTGATACCGTACTCGTCGATGCCGACCGTGGTGGTGGAACCGTACAACGCAATATTGACACTCGTCAAAGCGATCGATTGCACCGATCAAACGTTTTGCGTGGACAATCAAGCGATGCACCACATCTGTACCAACGTTCTAAAGCTCACCACGCCAACCTTCACCGACACTAATCGTTTAATATCCAATTACATGTCTGGCATCACGACCTGCTTCAGATTTCCCGGCCAATTAAATACCGATCTGAGAAAGTTATTGGTCAACTTGGTACCATTCCCGAGGCTTCACTTCTTCATTCCCGGCTACGCGCCCCTATACTCCCGAAGCTCTGCCCCCTACATAAAAGTAGACGTTCCAGAATTGACCAAGCAGTTGTTCCACGCGAACAGCATGTTCGTCTACTGCGACCCGACCAAGGCCAAGTTTCTCACCGTGGCCGTCATATTCAGAGGCAGGATGTCGACCAAGGTTTGGAAAAATTAGAAATAGCTAAATTTTTAAATTATTATTATTCATCAAGGGGGACGTTATTATAGTTAAGAAGCAAAAACTGACTACCTGACGATCGTTCTTGTTTGCTTGCAGTTCGTGGACGAGCAAATGTTGAATATACGAAGCAAAAACAGCCCGCATTTCATCGAATGGATACCGAACAACATACAAACCGCGATATGCGATATCCCCCCTCGAGGAATCAATATGAGCGCCAGCATGATATCCAACTCGACGGCGATACAGAGGCCTATCAAAAGGCTAATGTCCGCGTTTGATAATATGTTGAAGAAACGTGCGTATCTGCATTGGTATACGAACGAAGGAATGGACGAAAGCGAGTTTACCGAATCTTATTCCACTATGTATAATCTGTTATTCGAGTATCAACAACACCAGGAAGCGGTTGCCGATACTGACATCTTTGACGAGTCGATGGAATACGACGAGGAGGAATGATCGAACGAGTTTATCATTGCGGGAGGGAAAGGGGAAGGGGGGAGGGGGGGGAGGAATGGGAATGGCAGAAGAGAAAAAGAGGCAAATGATTGAAAAAAAACGTATATTTTTTGCAAGGAAACAAACCTCTTGCGAACTACATTGCGTAACGCGTGCCACGATTAGAAAATACATACATGTCGATACAGTTGTCGTGGATGCAACGAGAATAGATAAAATTTTTGGTTCGGGTGCTTTGGTTGTTTCATGTTTCGTGGAATCGTTTCCCGAAGAACGCTGCGTATATTATTCTTCTTTTTCTTTTTTTTCTTTCTTTTTCGCTCTTAACAACATCTACCTATCCGCGAAGCGTGTCGCAGTTCGAACGAGATTCGAATTCGACTTCGAGGCGAATAACCGCGACTGATGATCTGTAACTCGGCCGGTGCAGCAAACTCCGCGAACTTGTAAAAGATTTTCACGTATAAAAGTACAAAAGAGAATAAAAGAGATTCGACACCGAATCGAAAAGGGGGGGGAAGGGAATGTCGAAGGAGGAAGGATAAAGGGGAGAAAATGGAGATAGGGTAGGAAAAAGAAAGGAGGGGAAAGACGTCCGATTCGGTGGATACTTCCTAGAGAAAGAGAGAGAGAGAGAGAGAGAAGATTTTTTCTTTTTTTTTTTTTTACTCGATTCACTCCTGATCGCAGGTCTCGAAATCGTCTGCGCATTCCTCGGCCTCGAAATCTTCTTCTGCGGTGGCCTCTTGATACTGCTGATACTCGGAGACGAGGTCGTTCATGTTCGACTCGGCCTCGGTGAACTCCATCTCGTCCATACCCTCGCCCGTGTACCAATGAAGGAACGCTTTCCTACGGAACATGGCTGTAAATTGCTCGGAGATTCGCTTGAACAATTCTTGAATAGCGGTCGTGTTCCCTATGAACGTCGAGGACATTTTCAACCCCTTGGGCGGGATGTCGCATACGGCCGTCTTCACGTTGTTCGGGATCCACTCGACGAAGTAAGAGCTGTTCTTGTTTTGCACGCTCAGCATTTGCTCGTCGACCTCCTTCATCGACATTCTGCCGCGGAAAACGGCGGCCACGGTCAGGTAACGGCCGTGCCTCGGATCGCAGGCAGCCATCATGTTCTTCGCGTCGAACATCTGCTGGGTGAGCTCGGGTACAGAGAGCGCCGAATATTGTTGCATGGATCTTGACGTCAGAGGGGCGAATCCGGGCATGAAGAAGTGTAGACGTGGGAACGGGACCATGTTCACGGCCAGCTTTCTCAGATCTGCGTTCAATTGGCCGGGGAACCTTAGGCAGGTGGTCACCCCCGACATAGTGAGCGAGACGAGATGATTCAAGTCCCCGTAGCTAGGATTCGACACCTTCAACGTGCGGAAGCAGATGTCGTATAGAGCTTCGTTGTCGATGCAGTACGTCTCGTCCGTGTTCTCGACCAGCTGGTGGACGGACAGGGTCGCGTTGTAAGGCTCCACCACCGTGTCCGACACTTTGGGCGACGGCATCACCGAGTACGTGTTCATTATTCGATCCGGGTATTCCTCCCGAATCTTGGAGATGAGCAACGTACCCATACCGGATCCGGTGCCACCGCCCAAGGAATGAGTCAGTTGGAAACCTTGCAGGCAATCGCAGTTCTCGCATTCCTTCCTGACCACGTCCAGCACCGAGTCGACCAATTCCGCGCCCTCCGTGTAGTGCCCCTTCGCCCAATTATTGCCCGCCCCCGATTGGCCGAACACGAAATTGTCGGGGCGGAACAGTTTCCCGTAGGCACCTGATCGAACGGCGTCCATTGTTCCCGGCTCGAGATCAAGAAGAATCGCCCTCGGCACGTACTTCCCTCCATTGGTCGAGGTCGCCACTGCAATTGCAATATTTTTGTGATTTTATTATACGAGATTGGGAACGTATTTGGGATGAGGGAGCGGGAGAGGATGGGAAACGGCTCCGTTCGGCGTGTTTCGATCCTTAAACGGGAGAAGGTAGGGGGTGGGGGAGGACACGCAAGCGGCCTCCGAAACCAATGACGGATCGAGCGTATGGTCGTTCATATTAAACAGGTTCGTGAAACGTATTGTCATTCCACCGAAACCGGCGTGTCGCGACGAACAGATACTTTAAATGGTGGACGGAAACGCGCGGCGCGATTTGCAAATCGGATGCACACCTTGTGCCGACCTTTTTCCTTTCGTGCGCGCGCGAGGATCTTTCGTTCCAGGGTTCAAAAGCCAAGGGTGGTGAACGGTCATACGTAGCGGCTATTTTCGTCGCGAAACGCGTTCACTCTTTGTCGCTCGTTTTCTCCTACGTTCCTCGGCGTCGTGTCGCCGTGTACAACGCCGTGTTTCTATTTTAAAACGTGCGCGAGATCCTCGAACCTGGACCGAGTAAAATCTTTCTTCCCCGCTGGATCTGGCTTTCACCGTGCGCCAGATTTTTCGAAAATGCGAGATCTCTCGTGAAAGTTTCTCGAGGAGAGGAAAGATGGAAGGAATGAAAAAGGCGTTTTTATTCTCTCTCTCTCTCTCTCTCTCTCTTACCAGAAGCCTCGTTATAGTAGACGGAAATTCGCTCCAATTGCAGATCGCTATCTCCATGATAAATGCCCGATTGGTCGATGCCGTGCTCCTCGGAGATCACTTCCCAGAACTAAATGAAAAATGCAAAATATGAGTGAGAAGAAAGAGTGTATTGGCAAGTTGAAATTCTAAACGAGAATCGTCCTTTTTTTTTTTAAATAATACAATTAAGAGAAGCGAGAGGGATAATGTCTAAAAAAAAAAAAAAGAAAAAAAGAGTACAGGAAATACAGGAAATTAATGGCGCTCCCGCTCCCCACAACTCGAGTTTAACTTCCCTTTGGTGTACGTTGTCGGTTTGTACGTTTGTCTCGCCCTCGCTATTTTCTCCCTTCTATTAATAGCCAACTATCCATCGTGATTCTCTCCGCGACGACGACGACGGCAACCGCGACGCCGTCCATTTCCCAAGAATTTCACGACGCGAGCCGAGTGTACTTTGTCAAACACGGAGGTATACTTAATTAGTGGAGCGGCGAGACCAATTAGTATTACGCTCGTTACGCTTTTCGTTTCTTTCCGATCGATCGAACCGGCGCAATTCTTTCCTCGTGCGGGGGATGGACGGAGTTCCCTTTGTTCGGGATACGATTTACAGTTGGCCGGTCATCGTCGTTTTCCGCATGGAAGAATTCCATGATTCATGAAATCCACGGACAGAAAATTATACGATTTTAATTATTTCGTCAGTTTTTTTGTAGATTGAGAACATTATGGAATTGCTCGTCGCGATTTGTCAAAATCGATGAGAATTTTTCGTAACGATAAAAAATGGCAATAACGAAAAAAATTCAACTTGATATTCGAGTTCTCAAACGATACGAATGACCCTTTGTCGAGATAGGAGTAGGAGACACTTTAAATTCCATCTCGTTGCTCGTCGTGGCCGACGCCTTATCTTTAATTCGATTACAAGTCCAGTTGAATTACACGAAGCATACGAGGAGAGAGGAAAAGAAGAAAATTCTCGTTTAAGACATATCGAGAATAAATTCCAGCGAGTGATTTTTTTCAAAAATATTTAGGAGAAAAAAAAATAAAAAATATATATATATATATACGACGTGAACTTTTTTATCCTCTTATCCATTAACAAAAACCAATTATTATTTATTTTTTTTTATTAATTAATTAAATTAATTAACTTACCTTTGCACCAATCTGGTTTCCGCATTGTCCAGCCTGCAGATGTACGATCTCCCTCATTTTGAAGCTAGCTTGTCTCTACGTTGTCTCTAACGTGTGCCAAGAAAAAAAATGGTGCAGCTGGGCAAACAGCTGATCCCTCGAGATTGAAGAGAGAGTGGAAAGAAAGCTGACGGAGGACAGTCCTTGCGTAGTAACGAATATGCGTGATGTGCGTAGAGGCGAGTGCGGGCAGCGCGACGAGAGAGCGTGTGCAGCGAACCAAGTGCAATCGAGTGTCGCGCAGGAGTGCACCAGTGGTGTGGAGCCTGCGGAGCGAAACTGGCGAGGAAACGTACTCGTGTCGGTGTCCTGAGATCGACTCTCCACTCGGTTACGCGACGCGCTTCTGGCCTGGCGGCGCGGAGCTCATGGAGGGGGAGAAGATTCTCCAAACGAGTATATACGTCGCACGAGTCGATCGCCCAAAGAACCAACAGACCGACCAACAGCCCATATCCTATCGACTTTCGGTCAATGACACGTAATTTCTCAATCCTTCGATCCTAAAAAAAAAAAAAAGAAAAGTCTTCCATTTCTTTCTTTCGATTAATTTTTTTCCTTCATACATATACACATACGTATACACTTCTTTGTTGTTCGTGCTACTTTGCATCTTTACATGGGTTTGTCCACGCCACGAACGAGACGATCGATCGACTGGCTTTCGCTAGGAAGGGTTTCGTGACGGAGATACATTTGCGCTCGAAAAAAGAGCCATGAAGCGAGAACAGGATATCCAGTTCGATGGACTCGAAGAGCATCCACCGGAAATGTAACTCGATCACGAGGATGTTTCTCGGGTTTATGCGCTCGCAATCCAATGAACTTTACTTTCGATCGCCTCTGTTTGAATTTGCGCGAGCCATAAATTTCATGCATTCTCGTGCCTGGTATGAAACGTTCTGAACAAAAAAAAGGAAGAAAAACGACTAAAACGGGACTGGGACCATTTCGTCGTCGAGTGAGTCATTCTTAAAAACGCCGTGAGTCTCTCGGTTTTCTTGACTGTCATACACTGTTGAGAGGAATACGATAACCACGTCGTGTCATTTCGTCTCCAGCTGCGCTTGCTACTGTTTCACGATCCCCTGCCGTTGTAGAATCCCTTTTTCTATTATTGTAACTCATTCCCTCTGTCCGTTTTTCACCCCTGTCTCGTGCCATCGATTGCTCTCTCTCTCTCTCTCTCTCTTTATTCAACATTGTTTTCGTTTTCGAGAGATTGCAATTCTTTGACGTAGTACAGTTGACGAGTGTAATATGTATATATCTGTAATACTACCTACATATATAACTGTATCGATTGAAAAAACGGTAAATATTACCATTATCTTCTCTTCGTTTCTGTAACCTGATATATCCTCCATATCCTCGCACGAAATAAACGATTCGCAAATACAAATGACAATGCGTGTTTTAAATCGAAAAAATTTCTTTTACATTAAGGATAGAGTATACCTCGTAATTGGTAGACACTGTCTCGAGTTAAGTCAAATTCATGGAGCGAGACACCGACCGCGCCGGTTCGTATAGCCGGACGATGAGTCATATGAGGTCGTTGTCTGCTACTTACAATTAGTCCAAGAAAATCTACCATCACGATAATGTATATTTCCTCGTCCATTCGTTGACTCCAACTCATGAATTTAACTTTTTCATTATTTCCATCATTTCAATTATTTCCTGTTTTTGGAAAAAAATGAATAAAAATCATTTTTAAAAATATATAATATGATAATTAATTCAACAATCGATATATTATGTTAAGTTATTTTGTTAATTTTAAAAAATCATAAAACAAAATGATTTGAAAGAATCAATCGTTTCAATTCCACGTTGAAATGTGAAAAACTATTTTGTTCCGATTTTAATGATTTAACTGTATTATGTTAATCCATTATTCAATTACAAATGCTTATAATCGCTATTTAACATCAATGAAACTATGTCATAGTTGTATGAGTAAATTAAAAATGTTTCAATATACTGTAAATTTAAAAATTTTTAAATTTTAAAATCATAAATCAATATGTTAAAAATTTCAATTTTTTCAATTTCGTTTCAATGCTTTTATTTTCGCTAGTTATTTTCTAAAACTTACCAAATTGCACAGAAATGAGATTTTTTTTAATGATTTGAAAGAATAAGATCTGATAAAAACATTAAGTTGCTCATCATTCAATCTACATAATATTATAGATAAACAAAGTGGAACAATTTTCTTGTCAAACTGATCAGAATTTAAATTTATATTATTATAATGTAAATTCTTTAATAATTTAGAACATAGATAGGTTAATATTGTTTTCGTCGTAAATAATTCCAATATGTTCCAAATATTAGAATAGAGGTCATCCCAATCGCTTATGATCATTTTATTTCAATAGATGGCGACACAATCTGATAATGAATTAATGAAACTTATACATTATATATAAAATATAAGAAAGGATATTTTTTTGCGACATAAAAAAATGTGATATATTTTACAGTATTAAACAAAATTATTTACTGTTACTTTTTAATTTTTAAGATAGAATTTCATTTACTAATTATTTATACGTACATTCTAAAACTATTTTCTTTTACTTTTTACTTTCGATTAAATGAAATTCAAATTATAACCTACTTTTGAATAAAACTTGAAATTAATTACGCTAGCTGAATATTTAATTACATCTTTTTTGGTACTGCTTGAATGCATGATCTACTTTATTCAAATTTGTATGTCATAGTATAAAAATTGATAGATGAAAGGAACAAATATAAATACAAGTACACCTACAATATAATTTTATAAATATAAAAATGAATTATTGAATTCGACAAAATATATGTACGAAAATAATAAGGGATTCTTATTAAACCGTACACTTATATGATAATAATTTATTCAAGATGATGGTAGCCGCTAGAGCGGTTATACACTGAATACAAAGACGCGCTTTACAAACTACATAATCGAAACAAATAAACGATACAGAAAAAAGTTTGATAAAAAAAGTATTCTCCTCCTCGAATTATTCGAATAATACAAGGAGTGATATCGATGAAAAAGCGCGTCTGCACAGAATGTAAAAAAGAAATTAAAAAAAAAAAAAAAGATGGAATAGGAAAGAAAGACATAAACGCATAAAGTTAAGAAGCAGTACGAGAGCGAAGGGGACAATGATGAGGGGATGAATCGTAGGTAGTAAGTAGAGTAGAATAGAGAATAGGCGTTTAATTTTCGTCGACTTCTGCTTCCTGTTCCTCGTCGAATTCCGCATCTTCGTCTGCGGTGGCTTCTTGATATTGCTGATATTCCGAAACTAAATCGTTCATGTTTGATTCGGCCTCGGTGAATTCCATCTCGTCCATACCCTCGCCGGTGTACCAGTGAAGGAAAGCTTTCCTCCTGAACATAGCAGTGAACTGTTCGGAGATTCGTTTGAACAGCTCTTGAATAGCTGTCGAGTTGCCAATAAAGGTAGCGGACATCTTCAAACCGCGAGGTGGGATGTCGCAGACAGCTGTTTTTACGTTGTTCGGGATCCACTCGACGAAGTAAGAGCTGTTCTTGTTCTGAATATTGAGCATTTGCTCGTCGACTTCTTTCATCGACATTCTGCCACGGAAAATGGCTGCTACTGTGAGATACCTTCCGTGCCTAGGATCGCAGGCCGCCATCATATTCTTTGCATCGAACATCTGTTGAGTTAGCTCGGGTACAGAGAGAGCTCTGTATTGTTGACTGCCACGAGATGTGAGTGGTGCGAAACCTGGCATGAAGAAGTGAAGACGAGGGAACGGTACCATGTTTACAGCGAGTTTTCTCAAATCGGCGTTCAATTGACCAGGGAACCTCAGGCAAGTAGTAACACCAGACATCGTAAGAGAAACGAGATGGTTCAGATCACCATAGGTAGGCGTAGATAATTTCAGAGTGCGGAAGCAAATATCGTAAAGGGCCTCATTATCAATGCAGTAAGTTTCATCTGTATTTTCTACCAGTTGATGTACGGAAAGTGTTGCATTATATGGTTCTACGACGGTATCCGATACTTTAGGAGACGGTACGACGGAGTATGTATTCATGATTCTATCAGGATATTCTTCGCGAATTTTGGAGATGAGCAATGTTCCCATACCGGATCCGGTACCACCGCCCAAAGAGTGGGTCAATTGGAAACCTTGTAAGCAGTCACAGCTTTCGGCTTCTTTCCTGACTACATCGAGGACAGAGTCTACTAATTCGGCGCCTTCGGTATAATGACCTTTTGCCCAATTGTTACCAGCTCCAGACTGTCCAAATACGAAGTTATCTGGTCTAAATATTTGACCGAAAGGTCCCGAGCGAACAGAATCCATTGTGCCTGGCTCCAAATCGACGAGGATGGCACGTGGTACGTATTTTCCTCCAGATGCTTCATTATAGTATACGTTGATTCTTTCCAATTGAAGATCGGAGTCACCATGATAAGTACCGGTTGGGTCGATGCCATGCTCGTCACTGATGATTTCCCAAAACTATAATAAATAATAATTTATATTTTTAAAAAAATGTTTATACGATTTAATATTTCGTTTTAATTGATACGAGTGCGAATATTCGAAAAAAAAATCGTACTTGGTGCTAGTCAATGCTTTCTCCTCACCATTACCCTCGCATCCGTTTTCAGTCTTCCGTATTATCGACCGAGAGGAATAGTTCGATGACCTCACCAGTGAATAGCTCGTATGTAATTAGTTGTAATATAAGCATCCATTATGACAACAAGAATAGAAAATTTTTTTTTTATTTTTGATTATTTATATATAAAAATTTATAATAATAAATATGCATATTCATATGTACTTTTTTTTCATTTTTTTAAATCTATTTTTAACCAAATATTTTTAAACAAATATAAATTATTAAGATTAGCTATTTCACTCAAATTTTACGAGATAATAATTATTGTTCAATTATCGTCAATTTATTGTTTTATATACAAATGAATGCATATCGTAGCATACATACGAAGTACATATATAATGCATGGTACAATGCGCCTTCTCTATTAGTTAGCGCGCAACTGCACGTACCTCTCCATAGTTCAAAGACCTTATAGTATATTTCTGGAAATCGATGCGTTCTTAGAATACCATCTATTGAGTGTGATATAGCCATGAGATATCTTATTATCCAAATAGAAGTTTAACGGTCTTTCCAAAGAAGATAAGAAGTAATAATTTTAATTAGCTAATCAGTGTGCCGCATCGAATAATAGATAAAACGAATAGAAACATACATATAATATTACATTTCGTTTGTCTTATTTATTCAATAAGTAATTCTTTATTTAATATATCATTACTGTGATGTTCAAGAAGTATTTAATCCTAGGTCAGTAATGTTTACACATAACATCGTTTTAAAATATCTTATACCTCTTCTTTTTTTTTTTTAAACTATTGTCTAGCTTAAATAACTTCTATGTACACATTTTTACATAATTTCAATTTTATTGAACTATCTGATAATTAAAGTAACATTAATTCTAATCATAGCACGCCTACGAGATACTAGGATGCCCTATATAGAAACGATAGGTTTATTAGCCAGCATAATCATATATGACTATCGTTAGTAGGAAGTGAATACTGTCCAATCTTACTACCTCCCACCACACATTGTACATACGATATATGTACAATGTCGTAGCAACATGAGTCACCAATGTCATCGCTATATATAGAAATGATGACTGCAATGCCAATCTTGTCTAATTAACATAAAACACTACACTTGATTTTTGCATTTTACTCTCTCTCGACATTATATACAATCTATTATATTTATTCAATTTGTTAATTAAAATATTTATCAAAATAAAAATTGAAACAATATAATAAAAATCAATTCATAATCTATTAAATTATAGCCTATTTATCAATATCAAAAAAAATTAATAAAAAAAAAACTATATATTATTAATTCTTTTATAGAATTATTTTAATTGTAATAATTTTAATATTTTTAATATTTTTAAAAGAATAAAAAAAATTTTTTCGCGCCAGTAATTTAAAGAAATTCTTTGAAGTACGAATGATGTCTACACAAAATGGCGGACTAGAAATTTACATTCTGAAAAACGATCGATACTACATCTTGGTACTATATCCATATAGTTGTTACCAACGTAAAATAACCGGTCGAAGTAACGCGAAAGAAAATGGCGAAAGGATATCTTCTTTCTATATTTGGAAACGTTTCACCATACTACGTAACACAAGATGTCCTTGGATTACAAGATCCCTGAATGGATAATTGTAACTATTACTCAATCGTTCGATGATGGGTGAATTACGATAGAGTAATAATTTAAATAAAAAATTTGCATAAAATATTTTTGTCAAAGAATTAACAGCATAATATAAGATAGGAATGAATAATTTAGGAAGCGAACATTGACTCAATGAAGCAACCTTGAAAACTATGAGAGCGTAACTACATTGCATTACTTGCTATACGTACGCTATCCTCACAAGTCATTTGTTACGATAGTTATGTATATATAATGTGATCAGAAAATATAAATGTTTCCTTTCGCGAAATAAATTATTTATTGATTTATTTATTTGAATAAATTTCTAATTTTAATTTTAAAAAAAATAATTATTTTAAGATATCTTTAAAAAAAAATTAAATTCTATAAAAAGTGATATAAATATTAATAAATAATAAATATATGATTCAAAAAGATTAAAATAAACATGGAATTTGTGAAGAATCTAAAAGATTCAAGCAAATATATGTAATATATGTATATATGTAATATTCTAGAATGTTGATGAGAGAAAGAAGAGTAAGAAAGACAGGATCAATTGCGCGCGCAACTGCGCATTCGATTCCGTTGCTGCATCAACTAGTGTATCTCGACGCCGGAGATAGACCACGCCCTGCTCGGAGTTTAAAACATTTATGAATTTTTAAATAAATACAATTTCGAATACTTTTCCTTTTAAAAATTTAACAACATTCTCGATAAATAAATAAAAAAAAAATTGAAGAATATACATTTAATATTTAACAACAACACTTCGTTAGAAAACATGGGTCGATAGAAAAAAAAACCGTTAAGTACCAGCCGGCCGGCTTGGTTCTGTCGCCATGACAGGTCTTCGACCGAGCGAGGTTGCCATTTTTTCACATGCCAGCCGTACCACGTAGCTGAAGTATATAACACGGTCTTTCGTTGAAATCGATCGTTATAACATTTATAAAATTTGAATTATTTTCCATGTAAATAAGCTTTCGTAAATAATATACAAGAGAAAAACGTTCAAAAGATCGACATAAATTAAACAAATATGAATTTCTTTTTTTTTATTTTTTCCCAAATTCTTTTTTTCCATAAATTTTATATAAAAAATCTAAAATTACGAAATGGAAAAAGGACATTTGAGCACGTAACAGACACAATTCTATAAGGAACACTAACACCAAGTACGACGCCGAACAAAGAAGCGTTCATTTCCACGCGGTCGCGAATTCAATTATTTCGAACAGTTTTTAACACTTACCTTTGCGCCAATTTGGTTACCGCACTGGCCAGCTTGAATGTGGACGATTTCCCTCATGTTGCTCGGTAGTTTTCTGGACTTTTTCGAAGTATACTGCGATTATCGAACTAACGACGAGATACACGCTAACTCGTCACGAGAGCCCAGAAACGAATATGCCCTGGAAGCGGCGTCCGTTACAGATTTTCAAGCTTCGGCACGACCGCGGGGAGCGACGTGGGGAGATTCGAATAATGCTTGTGATTGGTCGGCGTCTAAGCCCCGCCACCTTTTCACCAGCCAACGTCAGCAGCGTTGCCAACTGCTCCGTGATTCTGCGCTCCAACTTTTGCGGATGTGACATCGTTGACAAAATTTCGATTCGGCAAAATTGCAGGCCAATGCTGTCGACCCACGAATTCAACTTTTTTTTTTGATATTCTTGAAATTTATCTCTTTATAATAACAATAATTCTAATGCAACAAATTTAATTATGATTTTTATTTTATTTTAATGATTAATCGATAATTAATGATTTCGAACATTCTTTTTCCAAATGTAAGTCAGTTAACCTATACATAATTTTTATATATACTAATAGAATTTAATTCCAATTAAAAACTTAAAAATTTAATAATCTGGTAAGTTTAATAGTAAATATATGATATCATTGTTGCCAAACTAAAAAAGATTAATTGACCTATTTAACAATTACATTGAAATATATAAGTACAGTACATTGTTTTCTAATTTTTATGGATTTTTTTAATTTAATAAAATTATAACTTATTAATTAAAATTTTTTTTTAATATATTTACGTTAAAATATAAAATTTTTTATTTTTTTTCTGTTTATAGAATATATATAAATATATGCTTATAATTAAGTTTAAAAATTATATCAACATATATATCTTCTCTACCCTTAGCTGGATGATGGGTGTGCCTTAAACCCACCCTGCTTGTTCGAAGTTGGCTGGGAGAAAAGTCGATACGTGAGTCACAGACGTACACACCCAAATATTGCGGATCTAATAAAAAATGCCTTTGAGACAATTGCCAGTGTAAAATATTTGAAAGTTTGCTTGGCAAAAAATTTTTTTTAAGTAATATTAATAAAACAAAATTATTTTCATTTTTCAATTTTTTTACAAACAATACTCATTATTGCATATTTAATTACAGGTATTAATTATCGATTTTGATCATCAATAATATTCCGTAGTATGCAAAAGTTTATAGCAAATAAATTTAAGATAGACAATAATAATACATGTTTGTGTGCATAGTTGTATGTAAAAGCAGCTTACAAGCAGGAGAAAAGAACGGAAGGCGAACGAGTGGCGACAGGAGAGCAGGTAGGGTGGGTTACGCGTTGCAACGCGTAAGCCAGTCTTCTCACCGTTACCATGTATGGATCACTCGCTCTTCGTTTCGAAGGAAAAAAATCAGCCATGATAGTGTACACGCCCGCGCATCTCAGTGTGTGTATATTCTTCTGCATGTACTTGGTTAAGCGTGCAAACACTGTTTCGCATTGATAGACACGAGTCGCAGTATGCAAACATAACGGACCTACCAATAACGGGGGATCATATTTATTATCAAGGTAAATTCTAACTAAAAGAAGCAAAATATATATATATATATATATATATATACATATATATATATATACATATACATATATATATATATGTATGTATGTATGTATGTATGTATGTATGTATGTATGTATGTATGTATGTATGTATGTATGTATGTATGTATATGTATATGTGTATATAAATCTTATATTATAATAGTATAATAGTATAATATATAAATCTTATACTATAATAGTTTTAAGCATTAGCACTTTTTTTTAATGAATTTTATAATCTATGCAAAAAATGCATTCTTAAGAATCGATTATCTTTTATTTGTTTTTTCTTCAGATATTAAAAGAAACAAAAATATAGTATACCTAATTATTAATGTAATATGCATATCCCAATATCCTATGTAACATGCATAGTAATGTATATTATAAATACGCTTGATACGCTTCAACGTGAAATGAAATGAAAGAAAGAAAATGAAGAAGGAAAATTTTGTTTGCAAAAAGGAGTTGTGTATCAATTGCGTGAATAAAAATTGATTACGTGTTACGAGGTCGATTCGAAAGAATAAGACCGATGCGACAATGCTCCACTCTTGATTGTCCTTCGTTAGTCGTACAATTACGAGTAGAAACGCTCGCTGACATCACGTCCAATTTAGATGAACCAAGAACGAGAAGTTCACGTACCAGTGTCGACGAAAAAGAGACTTCCGCATCGTTCCTATCTATCGTGATCAAAAATAATAGAATAATTAATGTCCAATTTGAACGATTACTTAGTCGTGGTTTACTATTATAAGCTTATTATAAGCCGATTTATGCTTTTGATTTCAGACATCCGTTGGATATTTTACAATCAGTTACAATCAGTTCGTCTCGTTTTTCTGAGATAATCATTTTTTCAATTTAAAGAATTAGAAAATAAATTGAAAAATGCATTTAAAGATATTTAATACCGAAATGTCGTATATAATAAGATTGAGTCACGAATAATTAATTGAATTTCGCTTTCATTGCTATCAAATATATATTATAAATCGGTAAAAAAGATACTAAAAAAAATCATCAATATATCTTTACAACAATTATTTTTTATTAATACTAATATTATATAATTAAATAATAATTAATAATTTTTGTTGATAATCTTAGAAATTCTGTAAATATTATGCTTCTCATATCTTATAGCTTTTAATAGTAAATCATAACAATAAATTGAAGAAATTTGAAATAAGATTTATTTTCATCGATTTATCTATTTGAGCATACAAACAAATAAGATAAGATAAGAAAAATATTAATTGTACATTTATGCATTCGAAGGTAGATACGATATTTTATATACATGTGAGAAGGGGTAATTATGAGTCACGATATTATTGAGCTTCCCGAACGTGCTTTCTTTTCTTTGTATAAAATTTTTCTATATATTTCGTTAATATATTTCGTAATTTTCGTTATTCATATTTTTTATAATCTTAAGATATTCTGTAAAAGCTTCTCGTATCTTGTAGCTTTTAATAGTAAATCATAACAATGAATTGAAGAAATTTGAAATAAGAATTATTTCCATCGATCTATCTATTTGAACATACAAATAAATAAGATAAGAAAAATATTAATTATTACATTTATGCATTCGAAGGTAGACTAATACTATCGATGATACAAACAACGGCGAATGAGGATAATTTGGAAGAACCGAGTCGGAACGACGCGACAGACGTACCAAACCTTGCCCCGCCTCAACTTTTATTGATCCCGAGGACGTCGTGCACGACAAACACGTCTAAATATTTCCGCAGCCGTATATTCGTGTCGACGTATCTCAATTACATAGAACTATCACTCTTGAAAGTAATATTTTTTTTTATAACTAAGATACGAAAATATTTTATAATATTTTATAATATTAATATTTTATATATATTTTATAGATTGTTTATTGCAAAAATATTCGAAATATCTCATCGCAAAGATTTTCATGCGAATACCAGTAGGGGTGGCCGAGTTGTATATCGAGGACAAGATTTTGACATACGACTACTTTCTCGAATGATCTTGTGATACGAGTCTGAAAACGAGTAACAACGGAGCCGCAAGTTGCCGTAAATGGTGTCGTTTTCTACTTTGGACAGAGTACGGATACATCGCGGCGAAGTCGTGGATCAAGGGAACCAACTCGATAACGGTAGCTTCGAAATCTGATTGTGAGTCACCCAGTTGTTCTTCTCGATCTCTCCTCCTATTCTCGTATGAATCCTGTTTTCTTTCCGTATTTCAATTTTTATCCTTATCTTATTTTTCTACTTCTCATTTTTCACATTTTTTTCGCTTTATTTTTTATTGTTTAAAGATTGTTTTCTATTAGGATTTTGATCATAGACCGGATAAAATTCACAGATATTAAACTTATCGTTATCGTAAACTATACATTACAAGAGATTAGAAGTAGAAATTTTTATATTGTTTAAATATTTAATATAATTTTTGTATTGTTTTAATAAAGTACAATTATCAATTAGAAAACTGAGAATATCCAATTCTGCGACCAGTCTGGTTATTGAGTAACACTTTACGGTGATATCATCGTAACACGATGTCGCATTTCCAAAACGGGAAAAACATTTATATATTCGGTTTTCGCTTGTATTTAGTTTTGTTTATAGAGTAACTTTATCTAATAATGTTCTCAATAAAATTTAATAAAATATATGATTCGCTTCATCGTTTTTTTTAAAAATATTTTCATCTTAGGTAGAATTTCACTCGAAAATGTTATTTTAAATGGTATTAAAATTTATCCTGTTCTTCCCAAAATTATTTAGAAGATGTTAGTAATATAACTCGTAAAATATTTATTGCGAAAAACGCGATAAAAGAAGGTAAAAAATAAGGAGAGGTTCACACGATCGAATCACGAAGCGGTATGTCCATGTTTGGATACGTCTACTGCATTTTATATGTCACGTTTTCTATCCATTTCCTTTCGTTGTTTGTAATTGATTGAACTTACGTAATATAATTTTTTAATATAATTTTGTACGTCTGAAAAAAAAAAAATAGAAATTTATTAAAAATATATTGGTGTTTATCTATTTGATAATCAAAACTCTTTTTAAAAATTGTTCATTTAATCATAGATTAAGTTTAACTTGCATATTATACAATTTTAATTAGTTAAAATTAATGGTAAAAATCTGTAGAGATCAGAGTAGAAGTATTCCATGAATATTTGTACGAGTATTCTCGACAAGCACAATAAGTGGCACAAGACCACTTTCTATCTGCATCCAGATAATGTCTCGATGTGAATCTTAAAGATTCATTTGATTCAAAGTTTTTTATTTTTATTTACTGTTGTTATTGAAACATATTTTTTGTTATTGAAGCAGAAAATAAAATCTGAAGAAAAATAAAATCTTAAATAAAATAATATATAAAATTATATATAATATATAATAATATAATATAATTCTACTAGTAAAGGATAAAGCATGTCTCATTGGTAAATTCCTGGCAAATGGTTCTTTGGGGCGTAGCCGAGACCAGGAACACGATCGATTTTCGTCCAAAGCGCATTGCAGGTATTTCGGATGGGCGGTTCTTGACGTTCGTAGTGAATTGTATTAATGTGTATTTTAATCGTCTAGATGCTTTTTAGAATGCGAATTTTATTTTTCTCCTCATATTAATTATATTGTGATTCTTACTTCGTTTAATAATTCAATCGTTAGTTACAATATAATATATATATTAAAAATTACGAATTCGAAAGATTGATTTTCAATTCAAAAGACGGAAACGTTATTTGGAAGCGTCTTTTGCCGAAAGAGGTAAGCTTATGGAAAACCTTCATCGCCCACGTGATTTTATAGTTCCTTTCTCTGACTTGATTTCTGTGCCGGTTATCCCACGTGTGTCCTCTATGCTGTGTCAGCATAGTGTAAGATAAATGGTGTTCAAAGATTTAAAAAAAAAAAAGTTTTTTCTAATGTCTATGAATGTCTATGATTATAAGGATAAATATTAAAAAAAAAATACTTCTTAAAAATTCTTCTACTATTATTTCTAAAAGTTTATCACAATATATATATATATATATATAATTATTTATATAATATAATATAAAAATATAACATATTTATGTATAATAATTATATTGTAGAAAGAGATTTATTATATATTTTCAATTATTCAATTAAGAATTTGGTAACGATATTATTGAATTCTTCTGAATATCGTAAATGTAAATTATGTGCACCTTTTTCGAAAATCTTTATCCTAAAAGAATTTTTTATTTAATATTGATTGAATATTTGATTGTAAAATCGATTATATTATACTCACTTCGATCCAACAATGTGATTTTTCAAGTAATTTGCATGTTCAATGAGTACCATCGAATCTTTGTTTCCTTGAACGATTAAACTAGGACACTTAATCTTCTTTAGCGATTCTTTGCACAAATCATTGTTTTGTTTCTCGCAAATTCTCAAAATAGACTCTACCCAATCAAATGATATCTTTTGTAAATATTCTTTTCCGTAAATTTTTATTAGTGGTTGTTTCATTTTTTCAGACCAATTATCGATAGTTCCGTATTCTATTAATATACAAATAAATAAATAGCTAAATAATCAAAAATTATTGAAATCAAAATAAAAGAACAAACTTTTATAAATTTCTTTTTCTTCTGGTGTTACATAAGCGTTTGCAGCAAGAGCAACCATTTTTTGTACATTATCGGGAAACATTGAAGCGAGCAGTAAAGAAGTAGTACCACCGTCACTCCATCCTATCAATGAAAATTTTGTGTAACCTAAAGCTTTCATTAAATCACATGCCCAAATGGCATCACGTTGAAAAAAATCATCCGGATATGTCCTATCGGGTGGTCTTGATTTTCCATAACCTGGAGGATCCCATGCTATTATAGTGAATTTTTCTTTATCAAGTCCCTCTATTTGTGGTTTAAAATCTGTCCAAATCGTACCTAATGATATGATGATATTGTAATTACAATAATTTAACATTTTTTTAAATAAGAATATATCTTTTATATTAGATAGTTTAAAAATTTTTATGATAGAATAAAAATTTGTTAATATTGTTATACTCAATATCTATTGTAAATTATTATAAATATATATACATAATAAAGATATTATTTCATTCGAATATTAAAATTAATTGTGTATCATTATACGATTATACAGTTATATTTTCAATAATCAACTTTCCTAGATAGCAGCACTTTCATTAATTTATGTATATACATATATATAACACAATTGTGATTGTAACGTTACATCAAACGTGATCATTTCTTCATTAACTTGCTTACCTGCGACACCAGGTAAAAGCAAAACTGGATGGCCAGTTCCAATTTTCAGGTAATTGATATTTACTCCATTAATATTAATTTTTTTCTCCTAAAAAAAAATATATAATATATAAGTATATATAAAATATATAAATTAAATATTATTATCTTTACAATTATAATGATATTACCTGTGAAATATAATCTTTCATTGTCGAAAAGAGGCGTGTATTCCATGAGAAAAAATTAACAATATATGTTCGTCGAAAATTATTCACAAAATTTCCGTATAATTTTACTAACATGGCTGACAACTTTAATACAATAATCAATGACAAACTTATTTTACTTTTACTTTTTACTTTTATTAACAACTTATTTCTAATTTATATATATATATATACACTTATTTCTAATTTATATATTCAAAATGTTACTCTTTATCTTTAAAGAATTGATGAATATGAAATAGGAAATATTTATTATTAATGTCATAAAGTAAAACAAGATGATGACGACATCATTCTATCTTATCGCTATTTTTGCATTCTATTTTTTGAAAAGAAATTGATAATATTTTGAATATAAATCTGATGACATCTTATTATGTATTGAGAAAAATTTAATTTTCTTTAAATATTTTCAATTAATTCAGTATATAATATTACAAAATTTTTTTATAAATTTTAAATCGATAATATTTATTAAAATTTTATGATATTTGAACAAAATTTTATTATTATTTATTTATTTTATAGATATTCATTTATAATATGAAAAAATTTTCATATTGTAAATATTTTTTTGTAAACATTCTATTTCAAAACAACTATAATTAAGTAGAATTAATTTGTTATTTTTTCAATTATATATTGAAATTTAATTTCTATAAAGAATTTTCCAATTTAAATTTTTATGTTATATCGTATTTATCAAGTCGTTTATCGGAAAAATATCTATTATATCGAAATAAATGTGTCAATAGATTAAATGAAATTTTAAATCTACAAAAAATATTTCTATTCAATAAATTAAACAAGGTATATGAAAATATAATAAATTTTATAACAATAATGTTTAAAATATTTATTTTTTAAATATACAATAATCAATGACGTAACGTCGATGGTCACTGTAACTTGTATGAATGGAAAATATTAAAATATATCCAAAATCAATATATATATATATATATATATATATTATATATATTATTAAGAATAAAAATAAATAAAATTTTTTGATAGAAGTTGACGATATAAAAATGTTTAATCTGCATATACAGTCTTAAAAGCATGATACAAATTTCTATACATCTTTAAGACAGACTGACGAAATTATGTAACAGACATGATTGTGATGAACAATATAAAAGATATTTGTATGTTGTTTTGCATGACACAGCATACAAGTGCAAAAGATAATAGAAGATTAAATTTTCAATAACAAAGTACATAAATTCAGTGCAGTTTGTTTTTCTATATCCTATTCTTAATTGTAACATTCATAGAAATAAAAATAATGAACAAGATCATTATAAAAATGCACTTATCATGAATCTTGCTGGTCACCATTTAGAGCTCTATGATATTCTTCTGTTAAATGTTTTTTATATTTAGTTTGATCACTCCATAGTTTTGCTGCTTGTGGATTGAGGGGACTCTCATTGTTAGGTTCTAAAAAAAAATAATATTTATATTTTTTTATTCTTATCAGTATATTCTACAACATTAAATATAATATTACTCACCACTAAGAAGAGATTGTATAGATAATAATATGGTACGCACATCATATAAAGCACTCCATTTATCTTTTAATATGTCCAAACAAATATTACCTACAGCATCCACATTTGGATGAAAACAAGGAGTAGCAAAACGTACAATTGGAGCACTATATGGGTAACTATGTGGAAATTCTAAAGTTAATTTATATGTAAGACCAGCATAAACCTGTAATAATAAACAAAATAAATGTTAAAATAAATATTATTTTTTGTGTTTATCAATATTTTAATTATGATAATAAAAATATTACTGTATCCTGTGGTCCTATAATAGTTCCTATCCATTTGAATAAATTTTCTCCATCTGGAAAGGCAGAAACACCTTTCTCTGTACTCATCATTAAAACCATTAGCTCCTTTTGCAATCTATTATACAACATATATTTATTTTTACTAATATCACAAAAAAAATAAATTATAAGTAAATCTACTATAGAATATGATTACAATTATGGATATTTGCACACAATTTAAGAATGCATTATTATTATATTATTTATCCAAACATTGTGAGTAGGTTATGTATTTTAGTATAGTTGTTATAATACAATACATTCATTATATGAAATTTGAAAGGAAAAAATAAAAAATATAAAATAATAATAAACAGTAAAGTAGAAGTAAATAAATATACATGTAAAAAGATCAATCGATAATGTATATATTAAATGTTTGATAAAGTTGGCGTACCGTTTACTAACTGCATGGTTATCTTTTGGTATATTCTGTTTTTCTTCTGCAGCTTTACTTGGAGCATTTTGAGATGAATAGAATGGATTTATATTTTGTGCCATTCCGAATCGAAAGACACACGTGATTCTTAGAATTATTATTTTTCGCACGAAATTTCCGAAGCTTCGGTTTGAGATACAACAGTCACTGTGGAAATTTGAATGCTGGATCTTCTACCAACCGTCTTGAAAACATTTGACTTCAAACAGCTGTTGAAGGTGAAGCGTTTAGTTTGTTTAAGATGTTTAGTTTAATGAAAAATTCGATTATATAAAATTATATTAAAAAAATGTGTTAAATATATTTGTTAAAACATTATTTTCTTTAATTAAATGTTGAAACAATGATTGTAAATTATATATAGACAAAATGATAAAGTTATTGTCAATCGTCGACGAGCATGAACATTTTTAATAGTATTAAATTTAATATATCATATTGACGTTGAATTAATTTATAAGAAGAATGAAAGAATGAAATGTGTACTTTTTAAAACACAATTTATAAATTAACTATAACGTTATTGCGTTACCTAATCATTTATAAATTTGTTATTAATTGACAACTATTTATTAGTTGTTTTCTTACAATTAAAGTTAAAATTATTTCATTACAATCAATATTGTGAATGTAATAAAGAGTCATAAAATTGAAATGTACAATAGATATCATAAATTTTTGTAAAAAAACAATGTGAATAAATATGTGATATATGATAAAAAATATATATATACATATATAATAATATGATAGAAAAGTAGAGTGATAGAAAGATATGTTATCATTAAAACTGTATTTGGATGAATATCGTAATTAATTGATATAAGATTAAAAAAAAAAAATGACAACAGCTCAAGGCACACCAGAGTCAGATACTGGAAGTTTTGAATGTTTTCAAAACTATACAGCACCAGAGGTATTTATACAAGGTTTGGCTGGAATTGTTGATCAACAAGATGTAGAATCTATGATAAGAGCTCAAAAACAAATGTAAGAATAATTTTTTATTTATTTTTTCAAATATTTCATTCATAAATTTCCTATTGCATCATGAATGAATCTTTTATTTTGTAGGTTGCAAAGATTTGAAAAGACCAACGAAATGTTAACTAATTGCAATCAATTGTCAATTAATAGATTGAAAACTGCTGGCAATGAATTTAAAAAACATACAGCACTTTTGGTGGAAATGAAAAGAGATTTAGATTATATTTTCAAAAGAATTCGTATTGTAAAAAATAAACTAAGCCAACAATATCCTCAAGCGTTTAATGGTAAATATATATGCAAATTGTTTAAAAAATATGAAAATTAATTTATTCTAAATATTTTTTTATAAATATAGAAGCTGTTAGAAGCAGTTTAGCAGAAGAAGTAATCGTTGAAGATGTAGATTGTTCTGTAAAACCGCTCGAACCTGAAATTGTTCCATTACCGAGTGTTACTCATACTGATATGGATCGAGATCCAGATTCTGATGGTAACCAAACTTGCAGTACAAGTAATCGTATCACCATACAATAAATTCACTTAAATTGTGACAAATTGTGACAAATTGTTCATTGTTAAAGCAGTATGATGTTTCTATTTTTTTTATTCTATTTTTCTTTTCTTAATTTTTTATCAAAAAATCATCGTCGAACTTAACAAAATATTTATAATGTGTTTGTACAATCATTTTTTTTAATATTCTTGTTTTTTTTGACTAAAATTTATCTCGTAGTGGGAATTATGGATAAATGAATGAATGAAATACAATAATAATTATATACAGGATATTCTTTCAAGTAAAAGTTTTCAACAATGTTAATCCTTTTTGATAATTAAGTAAATTGTAATGCAAAATTGAACAGTAGAGGATGATCAGTTGATCAATAATATATTCTTAATTATTAAACCATTTATAAGTAAGTTTTTCATATGTCGCATTTGTTTTGTAGCGACTTGTATACCGAATTGAATTATATATATGTATAATATATAAAGTTAATGAAGTTTATGTAAATTTGAAAAAACGTGAAAAATAATCGTAAAACGAAAAAATATCGTAAACAATACATATATCTTTTTGTCAAACGATTCGTCGCAATGCTATGACAAATATTAAGCGATTAGTCATTGTCTTTTGGTAGAAAAGTAAAAATTAAGATTTTTCTGGTCGTTGTTAACTTCGTACAATGTACATGTTATAGCCATAGTATATCATAGATCTTTTTTTAAAACGCAACAAAAATGAATTAATGAAGGAATTTTAGATGATTTAAAAAAATCTGAAACAAAAAGTTGAAAGTTGAACAGTAGTACATTATGGCTGTAACATAAGAATCACTGTAATAAAATGAATTTTAGAAATAGTACAAAAGAGGAAAAAAAATACAGACATCTTATATTTCGATTTCGATAGATGTAATTTACTTGGATTTACTTCCCACTCGTTAGGACATTCAATTGTTTCCTTTCCCGAATACAATTGCACGAACGACACTAATAACGACTTCAATTATTGATGTACAGTGCCGGTTGAGGAGTTTCAATTCGCAAAGCTGCGGAAACGACGAATAAAGAGCAACGATAGTTCATCAACGGAGAGCAACAACGATCAAAGTAACGCTGATACTTCGTCCTGCACGTCTGATACTGGTTAAAGAGTTCCTTCCAGTTATAGAATCGGAAGACTACGAAAAAGAAGAATTTAAAAAAAAAAAAAAAAAAAGAGTAAAATAAAAAAAAGATTAAAACAAAAGTTGAAATTTTATATGCTGACGTTATCGCGAAAATTGTTAGCCGACAATAACGTTTTAGTTGGATCGGTAGCAAACGGTTATAAAAACTTGAAAATTTTTTTGATTATATATGCATACTTTCACGTACAAAAATAGATGTACGCGTATCTTTGTAAATTGCAAATCTGTGAATTCTGTCAGTATCGAGTAACGCTATAATAAAGCATTGTTTGTACACTGTAGAAGAGTCGATCATTTCGTAGCGGTAAGTACGAAAGTGAATTTCCAAGATCGTAACGGGTAAAATTCGTAATGAAAATATTTCCTCGGTAAAATGAAATACTCTGTAACATATTCTAGCATTATCGATTTTACCGATGCGATTTGTAGTTTCCGTTAAAACAGAGAGATGTCGGTAAAGATACGAACGGTAAACAAAGTTTTGAAGTGGCGCGCGATTGTTGCGAGCGTTAACACATTGAGTTAGTTTATGCAGATTATATAATTATAAACTATTGTACGTAATTATTAAAGGTAGAAAAAGTAATCAGGATGTCTGAAAGAGATTGATAAAATGAACATAAACAAGAGGAAAAAAAATATAACGCACCCAGATGCGGGACAATGAGGGAGAAGCTTAAATAATTCATAAAACGAGATAATTTCTTGAAAATTGAAGCGATTGCAAAAAAAAAATTGGATTCGTTCATATCAATTTTCCAATATTATTTTATTATTAGGTAATTATCTCTTTTTTTTTCGCGAAATTTCTTTTTTATTCGTATCTTCAAGGAAAATTGAAAAATTTTTCAAAATCGTTTGTTGTTCCTCCTCTGAACATATTTTTTTGAGAAACGATTTCGATTCTGCTTTCTACCAAGGATGGTTTGTACTATACACACACGTCAACTACTGTGCACGTATATACACAGAAGGCACAGCATTCTCCGCGTGGAAGACGCCAGCCATCGCGATGCCAGAAACCAGCTGCGCCTCAGCTGTTTTCTATCCGTTTCATCTTTTCTCTCTTTTTCTTGTCCGCTCTCTCCTTTCTCTCTCTTTCTCTTTCTATCTCTATCCACCGCCGAGGACATTTGAAAATTCGGAAATAATATTTCGTAGATTTTTCGAGCATTAGTTTTTCAATTACGCGATATCAAAACTAATCTCTCTATTAATACAAATTCGACTAATCGAATAACAAATAGAAAATTGTTCGAGAGTTTTAAAGACGATTAATCGATTTTTTACATAATAAAATTTCAGTGGATCACATCACGTTTGATTCGTCCAATCATTGAGCAAACAAATGGAAGATGTTTCAGCGTATAGAATAGGTGAATCGATGCGCTCGTATCAGAGAGGAAGAGGAAGCTAAGTCTCTTAGGGCAAAACGAGGAAACAGCTGTTTAATTTTATCCGACTCACCTGTTTCATTCGATAGACAGCTTCGAATTTTTTCTCTCTTTTTTTTCCTTTTTCTCGCGGCACCACGTGTAACGGGATACATGTTTCTCGTCGACGAGAAACAGGACGAAGACAATTATCTAATTATCGCGGGAATGAATTACTTTGAATCTGTTCAAAGCTTTGGATGTTGGAAAACGAGGTGAAAAGGGGAGGAGGAAAATAAAGCAATTCGAAAAGCGCGATAGGCCTTTTGAAAAATTTTGGAGGCGTGACACGTTCAGGCGCACTTGGAGGCGCTCTGTTGTCGAGATCTGTTGTATACGTGTATTCGATCTCTGTGACACGGACACAACGGAATCCGTTTTTCAGCGGTGCAAAGTAATACAAAAGCACGGGATATACCCGTTAACTCGATGAAGGGTGTCAGAAACAGTGGTCCAGATCGAACGTTTCCAAGAGCGCCGACGATCCGAAGAACGACGACACCGAGGAGGAGGAACGACTACGCGAGGGAAAACTAAACGGATGGAGGAGAAAGTTGGAGAAGTTAAAAAAAAAGGGAAAAAAAAAAAAAAAAAAGTTAGCCAACTATCATTCGCACGCCCATTTCCACGCGCGATCGATCTTGCGGATCGAGTTGCAAATCTCGCTTGTACGAGTCGAAAGGATCCGATCGTCGATCGAGCAACAAACGTGGTTGCGCGTTTTTCCGCACCGTACGAAAATGCTGTAAAATCGGCTGACGCGGTTTCTCCCTCGCGAAAGGAGTGACTTCGTGCTATTGACATCCGCTCTTCGTGGTATCGACATCTCGGTACAAGGCAGCCTGTGCCGGGAGCACGATTTTGCGTCACTTCCACGGTGTGGTGGGATGAGGAGAGGGAACGCGAGAGAAAGAGAGTGCGAGAAAGGGGGATGAGGAAGCGAAGAGGGCGGATAAACGGGGAGAGGGAAAGAGAGAGAGAGAGAGAGAGAGAGAGAGAGAGAGAGAGAGAGAGAGAGAGAGAAATTCGTGCGACGAGTCAGGTCGGTATAATTTTCACAAGCGCGAAAATTACTCGGATCAGGGCCGATAAGTCGTAAATTACGAGTGAGCACGTAGGTACCTGCGTTTCGATCAACGTGTAAAACGTAGCTTTCGTTTGCCTGCAAATGACGGCATCACCCGTTCAAACTTACGATTACCCGTCGGACAAATTGAACTTTGCGTTGAAATCCGCTATACGCGCCTCGATCGAGAGCGAAAGAGAACGATAACATTGTTGTGGCGCATTGGGGGCCAGCAATTTTTCGAACGAATTTTCTTTCTTTATTTTTTTTTTTTTTTCTTTTTCTTTTTCTCTTGTCCACGAACAAAACACAACTCGTCGCGAACAAATAAACGGGAACGATCATTCGATCGATTTATTCGACCGAACATCCGAATCGATCGATTCGATTCGAGGCGATGATCTTGGTCGTTGAATGGCAAGGGAAAAAGTTGGGACCGATAATGGGTTGAAAATTGGCAAAAGATAGGTATCCACGGCGAAAGGTTATTCGGGAATTTCGGCGCGGTGACGCGCGCACGTAGAGAAGTGTACATGGCGATGACAGGACTGTGACGGAGTGCTAATAATACGTATAATAGGCCGGTGGAGCGGCGCGCGTGTGTCGGTGTGGCCGCGCATGAATTCGTGGCGATAAGCAGGGAGAGGAACAAGGACAGGGAGATGTTCTGGCGCGCATACGCGTATATAGGTATAGTTCGTGTTTGCCCGGAGCGTGGCCGTGGCCGCGGATCTCAGCTGCGTGTGTGGATACTTGACGAGACGCGTACGAGTTCGACACTTGGCCGAAATGAAGGATTGCCGCGAATTCTCGAAATCGAGGTCGATACCGAATCGATTCGCGATCCTTCTCTTCTATTCCCTTATATTCGCTTATCTTCCAACCGTTTTTCTTTTCTATCCTTTTCCTTCTCCTTTTCCCGATCACGCGTGGCACGCGTGATCGCGAGAGATGCGAAAAATTAACGGATCGAAAAGATAATAAGAAGCGAGATAATAAGAAGAAAGAAAGGCTAGAGGATGGCGAGCTATTTCTCAGCTTCACCTGCAGAGACTTTCTTCGCGAGAATATATCGACGCGTCAGCAGCAAGCTGGTACGATATCCACGCGTAAAAGTATATATACCGACCGTTTCCCGCGTCTCTAACGTAAATATAACGGATCTTAGTATCTCTGCCTTCTCGATCCAATCGAAAGAAATTGGGATTGGAAAGCATTTGCAACTTTGTTGTTTCCCGTTTGTTGTTGTTGTTGTTGTTGTTGTTGTTTCGTCGTGGTTCCAGGGTGGACGGAAGAATTACCGGTGCAGCCTCGGAGTAGTGAGCAGAGGTTGCGTGGTAGAGAGGTTGCAAGCCACCACCTCTCTCTTCCTCGTCCTCCTCCGGTCGCCGCCGTTCTTCCAGTTCTCCGACTAGACGTTCAGTCGGCTGGCGACAGCCGTCCGTGCTTCGCGTTCCTTCGTGTCGCGCACGCCCCGTCTCTCTCTCTTTCTCTCACCCGCGAAATCTTCCCGTTCGTTTTTCCCCTTTTTCCACCTCGATCTGTTCCTCGATCGGACGAGTCGGTTCGATCGGCCTCGATCCAATAATCGGATTAAAAACTTTTCCGTTTCTTTGTTCGTTCGCGATTCGCAGCAGTCTCGCGCGATGGACGGTGTTGTTGCCGTTACGCGTCGATCGTCAGGATCTCGATAGATCTCTCGGTTGGTGACGTTTCGATCCATGCCCTGTTTCGTGCGTTTCCAGCTCCTCTTTGGATTTGTTCGAGATTACGTCGAGCTGACACGATCGCAAGAGGTTGCGGAGTGTAGGAGGTAGGCAGATTTTTCTTTCTCTCGCCGCGTAAAGCGATGAATCGTGTACAAATCGACGAATCTATTTAAAAAAGAAAAAAAAAACTTTGTCTCCCGACTTTTCGAATCGAGGGGACGCGAGAAAAAAAAAAAAAAAAGAAAGGATAGGAAAGAGCAAAGAAACGAAGTGAAGAGAGAAACGTGTATTAGGGTTCTCTCGTTAAAACAGACGGATGACGTATCGTGCGCGCACGTGTGCCTCGAACGGAAGGAAGCGAGCAGCTAGCAGCAGTCGCACGGTACTCGAGTCGAAGCTCGACTCTATTCTTCGAGAGGCGGATGGACGAGCAGGAAAGCGAAGTAGGAAAACCACGTCAGGTGCATCATTTCGCACGATGTTTGCCGATAATCGGTACCTCGCGTAATACGTACGGCTCCTCGTATTTACCCAAACTATCTCGTTGACCAAATTCTACCGTTTTTCATTCTTCGTAAAAGAAAAAATCGTTTGTATTCACGATCGTTTCGCGTAGAATTTTATTCGTTGGAGGAAGATCGATCGATCGATCGATCGATCGTTAAATCGTTAAATCGTTGGATCCAATTGGAGGGAGAGACAACGACTTCGATGTAGCTTGCAAATTGGATTAGCGGGTGGTGAAGGATAACGTAGCGGAGAAGCGATGTTCGGTGGACGTGGATTTGATCGCGTGTGCGTGCATACGTAGCGGCGCGAGACACGCGCTACCCGCTATACTCTCATCTCAAGTATTATATCGATTAACTGTTGGCAACAGAAGTGAGGCAGAGGAAAGCTCGTCGGAGGGTGGCATGGCTTTGGCTTTCCTATATTATTAATCTTGCGCGCTTTCTCTCTCTCTCTCTCTCTCTCTCTCTCTCTCTCTCTCTCTCTCTCTCTCTCGTCTTTTCTTCCACGACCTCGTGTTTTCTCCACACCGCCTGATAAACTTGACATATACGCCAGGCAAC